ATTTGCAGGTAGATGACACGACCACATAAGTTACTAACAAAATAGTGATTTTTTTCTTTGTAATTTCGTGCTGTGACATCTTGTACCACAAAAATTTTCGTTTGTAATTGTTAGTTGTGATTTTCCGAGTCATTAAATGATGTAAGAGATTGATAGAGACTCCCCACATGGGCATGCGCGCGCGCTTTTTTGCCCGGTAGCACATCGTTCGTCATTACGCGTTTATTATCTGTTTGGCCTTGGCCGTGAACGGTCGCACAAGAGGACACACTTGCGCGTGGGCAAATACGGTGGCTACACAGCGTACCGCAGAAATTAGAATCTATGCAAAAAAACTCATTGTGTCCGTACCACGAAATGTTTTACTTGACATCGTACAAAAAACTACCCAGATTAAATTAAAACACCATATCTTTAGACGGAGTTAGAATAATGGTCTAGTTATAAAAAAAATCTCGCGCGTGTTATGTTTTATGTACTCGTAGTTATTCGAAGAAATAATTTTATATTAAGTAAACTAATGTTCCGAATGGATGAGAAATAACAAACAGGACTACCGCTTTACTACGTATGTTAAATCAAAATGATTATTCTGTTGTAGTAATAATAAATGGAACTATCTTCCATTCCATAACGCAGGGTGGATTTGAATATGTTAAGAAGATTGTTAATTTGCAAAGCACAGACTGAATCCTTTTAATGTAAGTATAAAAATAAAAAGGCTATCCGTCATTATCCATGATTTTGTTGACTTTGTCCCTGTCAAATAAGTCTTGTTCGTTGTTCAGTTGTGTATTTTTCACTGGAATAAAGATTTAGTTCTGGAATCACCTATTAATCTTCCTTAGGTCGATAAGAACATTTACTTAAAAAAAAGGCAAATTTCATCCTGATTCGGTTGATTCTTGGACAGTTAAGAGAACGGTATAAAGTAATATAAAACAACAGCATTACCCGTGATCTATTAAAACTTATTAAAGTGATACTTCACAGATCAACGGGGTCCATTTGGGTCAATTGCAATAATCGGTAGGTAGGTCGTTAAAGCCGCCCACAGCCGCGCCGGCGTGCGCCAGCCGACCTATTCGATGTTAGCACATCCGCTGGCGTATTCATAAACACACATTTGCTTACTCCTTCAGTTACGTAACTCGCCTTTTCACCCCACGTACTAGTTATTTACAATATGTCCGCAATAAACACCTATTTGCGACATGCACTGTTCTACAAGTAAACGCGTTTGAAACTAGTACTTCTTTAGCTATTGTAAATTAAATTATTCATTTTCTTGAAGAAATTTCGTTTTTTTAACGTCATTTTCAAAATTTATCAATAGCGATTGCCTGATACTACGCTTATTTAATTTTTAGGCGTTTAGGTGATGGCGCGATGAGATACCACTCTCACACTCGCTCCATCACCTGACAAAAGTATATAAAATGTTCATGGCAGCACTTATCGTTGGTTGTATGTTTTCGTCGCATTGATAAAATCAAAGACCGAGGTCATCACACAAGTGATACGTATATTGTGGTTCTTACAGAATTCGAAAAAAGTGAAATAAGTTTCCAGAACTACCTTCAAAAGTCAAAAATCATTTATTTCAATTAGACCACAGTAGGCACTTTTGAACGTCAAACGTCCTTATATTGTTTTTCTCATGCACTTACTTGTTTCATGTTTCATGTCTACTTGTTCGACAGTAAAAATACATAGAACTGAGTTTTACATAACCACAATCTATGAACGTAATCGTAAAATCACTTGATGAAAGCCTTGCCTGAGCATACAAAGCTCGCAACAAAATCAATAGACTATTTCAATGTGATTCTCGTCCAGCTAGAACAGCTCTTATTTTGTCCGGAGTTTATTTGTTCTGTTTTCTCGCCTAAAGGCAAATTGCATGTAAACTTTTGCATCGTGAAGCATTGCGTTACATACGTCGAACAACTCGATGGATTAGTGTGTCAGGAATTTGTCCCGTATAAAATGTCGTACGCGCCTATTGAATGCACAAAACATATCATTCATTAATGTCACATTACTAAAATGGATAAATGCAGCAGCATCATATAAATGTCCGTAGTGACAGGATTTACCGGAGTTGTACAGTCGGATCACGCAGACGACATGATATACTCACGGACTGTATTTCTGTATTTTCGCTGATAAAATAACGCCGAGAGACAATGCCGATGAGTAAACGGTTTGGTCACGTATGTACTTAAGAGGCCCTTTATTTGAATCGTGCGCAAAATATAAAAAGTACTGACGTTCGGACTGTCTACTAAGATTATCGCAAAAATGAACACAAGAGATCTATTAAAGATTGTAATACAAAATTTACTCTTAAAGGTGATGCAACAGGTGATACCGGTTTTAGTTCGATCGGCTCCTCGGCGTCTAGCGAAGATACGATAGTCAATGGACTGAAAATGTTTTGCATGGAATTGATTAACCCTGTGGCCTCGGCGCCTTTGATATGTACTTTCTTTATCTGTTTGTTATCATATAGCCATATATTTTATTTGCGATGGGGTTAAAATTAAATCCATTATCTGTTAACCTCTTCTTTTCTTTAGTGAAAATTGCCGAGTATCCATAATCCGCTGAGTAACATCTAAGATCACTTGTTTTAAATTGCTGATATGACTGATAGTAGTTATATTAATATTCAATCAGATAAAGAATGCTCCTGTTTTGCAAATGTCAAGTCGTATGATACAAGGGGCGTTCTCACGGTAGCTCTTGAGAGAAGAACAGAGAAAGCCTTATCTCATGTATCGGAGCGCGAACAATGTGAAGAGCGTGTCGATGCTTATCACAGCCAGCCTATCTAGTGGCTGTAGTGCATTCGACTTTCACTCGCTGCCGCCACGTTGCCTTGTCGCTCCTAACACCACTTTGTTTGTGTCCGTCTTGTCTTGTTAGTGCGGAAATCGTGACGAGTTGAAGAGAATCGATGACTTTTCGTGAAAGTTATTTCAGCAGAGATCTTAGCTATATTTTTTCGTCTCGTTCGTTAGACGCACCCAACTGAGATATGTTCAAGAAAATTTACCTCAAAATATGTATAATGCGTCACACACGCAGCAGACGAAACAGCTTTTTTAGCGCTGCTTAATATTCAATAACACATCCATAAACGACCATTGTGTCGGTATGGATTATGGGTGTTGGGGACGCCGCGCCGGTTGCGTCGGTCGCGCATGTTAAAGAGAGCCTGTCGTGATTTAGTGCAGGGCCGCGGCTCGTACGCAGCCCACGGGCCTAATTACAAAGTGTAATGAGGCGACAACGACGCCCGCGCTCGCGTCCGCCCGCAACACCGTTCTGACGCCCGCCGCCTCATACACAACTTGCTGATGTGACAATACCGCTTAAAGCTTCTCATACTTCAACGTATTACAGGTCACATTATTGTGTCTTTTGTCTTTTAAAATGCTCAACAGGTACTTACTTAACGCAAAAATATGTTGTATGAATTTACTTAAAAGACAGTCATAAAAATACCGTAAAGATGTAACTGCGCTTCAGGATAAAGGGTTTACACACGCAATAAACACGGAGTTTGCATAAAATTACAGAATATCAAATGTTTACATTTGCTGATTTAAATTAAACTTCAGTAAATCAATCCAGAACTGACATATAAATCTTACTGTAATCGAGGCTAGGCAGAAAAAAACGCGTCAAATATGGATCGTATCATGTTAAAATTAGTATTTTCATAAAAAAAAATAATAGATGTAGTTGATTATGTTTGAATTAAAGTGAACTCACTGTAAGAGTATAACCCATTACATAATTACAGAGCGACGGGCATTTCATATTATGATTTACGCACGAGTGGCCGTGGTCCGTTGCTTCGACTGGACTTAGCAAAAACCGCCGACAATACCACTCCACTTAATTTTGCATTCGAATGTCGAACTAATCTCAAATCATTTAGTTTCGTAAGCTATTATTTCTTAAGAAAAGTTTTTTACGTTAAAACGTGAATGAAATATTTATAATTCATGCTGCGAGCAAACACAAATTGTCAACAATCTTCCACTGAACAATCAATCAAAAACAAAGATAACTATCAGATGTCTCAGCAATTTAAGCGAGCCAAGGCTTTAAGACCATACATCAAGTTATGTAAATCACTTTATTTTTTGTACCACGTCGTCGTCACACTGCAATGTAAGTGATGGACATACAAAATTCGGTTCTATTAGTCTCCATTGAACGGTTTGAAATTGTTCGATCACCTGGACGAGTAACATAGGTGACTCGACGGCTGATATTAATTTCTTTCAACAGCATCAATATGTTAATGTAATAACTAAATTGTTTAAGTAACATGTGATAGCTTCAGTTTTTAATAAAAAAAATTCCTATCCTGTTTTTTCCTTCGTGGGACTGCCGACCGGGTGTTCTTATAGCTATTTCTTACTTTTGCACGTTAAATATCTGTTGTTTGTCCTATACTATAGTATTCAGATATATTTGTTTTATTTTCATGATTTCCCCGACGCGAGTCGTTAAGTTTTTGCTCGACGCTGTATTTGCAAATGCGGTTCCGGTACCGTTGTGGTACAGACCGCTCGCTTGTTGATTTTTCGCTCGAATTGATGTTTCGTTGCGTATACAGAACAGAACAATAGAACAAGTTTTTTAGATGTCTTTGTTCCTACACCAATGTAGATAGAAGATGTAAACCAACGATGCAAATGAAGTGAGAACTTTTTGTTCACGCCTTTGTCGACATCGCAATGGTAGAAATATTGTGAAGATTCCACCACTATTGGATGTTGAAAGTAATGATTATACATGCACGATTTACAAATCGAAATGATATCACCAAGTTTTTGCCAATGCATACAAATGATTTATCTCGTCCGCAATCAGTTCCAGATCAGCAAATTTTTTGCAAATCAAAATCAAATATCGAGATCGCTACGAATCAGCTCCTTGTTCTCATTGAAAGTAACGAATTATTTTTATTTTGTTTCAGTTTCTGCCACTCTACCACCACAGAGGCCTTGGATACCATTGACCCGACCGAACAGAACTCGTCCTACTTGTAAGTATTGCTCCTTTTTTTTTGTTGCGTTGCAAACCTTAGAATTTGAGGATAAGGGAGAAGTTTGGTTTATCATAGATAGTATATGTTGTTTAAAACACACACTGTCAATAAAAAACTTGAATGTGCATGTGCAATTGCTTGTTTAAACATTAATATAAACGATAACATCGCAATTGCACCTTTTTATTCGTATTAATACGATTCATAGCTAAGAACGGCCCGAGATTATTTAATAGCGATAACAAAAAGCTAAGCAACAAGTTTGTCATTAATAAAGTGTCGTAGTGGCACGTATGGGCGCGGCGCACGCGGACCGTCTCATAAATAATCAACCAGAGACCGCCCTACCATGCAACGGTAATATATCCACCCGTGGGAGACCCAGGGATACTAGTTTGGTCCTGCTTCAGTCCTAACTTGCAGTCTTTCATCCGATACCGTTACGCAGTTAACGTTGTATGACATTTGAATAATTCCGATAGGTGGAGCTTCCTCGTCTGCGATAGATTTATCTTACGAATTGAGAAGAATTGAGTAGTGCCCTCTACTACGTTTTGTACGTTTCTTAGTACATGTGTAATAATCCAGTCATTAGCTTTATAATTACACAGTTTTTATTACTTTTTGATCAGTAATACTAGTTCTCATTACATATGATTGATATGTTTCTTCAGATACAAAATTCATTAAAAGAAAATTTTCATTCAGTGCACCAAGTGCAGTGTTTTAAGCTACACATTTCTAGTCGTTGCAGTGCACTTTATTGAGTTCTCTGAAATTTATTTTAGCGTAGAGTTCTAAGTAACAACTAATCGTGAAGTGTGTGCCGACAGAGTTAAGATACCGTCACGCGTTCTTGGCCGGCACTCATGCCGCTTCCCGACGCACGATGCGCGTACCCAATTTACATAAATCAAAGCGGACGCTCGAGCCTTGCTGGCACTGGAAGACCTTACACCTATTGGCAAATAATTAATATCGCTGCATATGTTACATTCCTCATTTGTTAAAATGCTCATAGCAACAGCATAGACGGTGCATTGCGTAAATCAGGCCAGCCATCCATGAAGCTGGACAATTATATAACGCCATTACGGTCTCGACCTCCTAGTTACATAGTGACTACTTACTGTGCTTACTCGTATTTACCTAATAATCAATGGACCGTAAATAGGAAGCGATCTACAATACACTTAGAAACCGATTCAGTCGATCGCGCTTAGTCGCTCTCATGGTCAGTTTGCTAGGGAAGAGAGGAAATGCCCTTCGTCTCGCCATTCGCGGATAAACAATGCACAATGAGAGACATTGGCTGCGACCTCCTCGCATCCGTGAACCCGTGGATCAAGCAAAACTTAAGCTAGACTTTCTCTCTTCAGACTGAAAATAAATCACATGGACACGTAAACAAGCATCGCTAACTTCAACCGACTAACCTTGAGACTTCTTCTTTTCTGTACCCATAATTATGCTCGGTATTGAAATCAGTTGATGTTCAGAGTTCAGCAACAGGAGCGACGTATAGCGCCAAGACTGGGACAAATATGTGGTACCTATATTCGAACAGCTTGTTTATTTAAAAACCTAACATAGTAAGATTTGCACTTGAGTATGAGTCAACTAATTATTACATTATTCTTATATGAAAACTAGCTTGTTTATAAAAGTTTATGTTCTTAAAATCCGTAGGTCACCTTTCCTAAAAATCGTGAAACAATAGTCGTTTACAACTTGAGCACTTAAATAAATAATTCGTACGTCTGTCGTGATACAAAATGCCCACGTAATGGCATCGCCAATAAACAGACGTCTGTGCGCCTCCTCCCATTATATTCAGATGAGCTGCGATAGCTAACTGGTTTATTTCTTTTTCTTATTGCCCACATAAACACTGGATTGAGATGTTTTGATCGACACAATCTTGCCACGTAATAACTGTTCACACCATCTCCATGTTCTTAAATCATGCACGTTTCGCGAACTCCGACGCTTAACGTTACCTAGCCGTTACCTATGCTTGTTTGATTAATGTGTGTTCATGATTTAGCGAATGCATCTTCGCTCTCTACACCTGTCAGCAATTCTAAGAGAAATCTTTGACTCTCAACACATTCGATTTGATGCATGGTAACTATCTTCACTTGCGGACCCTTCATGCAATTTGTCATTTTCACTAGTATTTATTTCTAGAATGTTCTAATTTACTGTCAGTAATAAATGCATTTAAAGAGCCTTATATTTTTGTGTTTTTATCGCATTTCTTATTGTCAAATTGGTCATTAATCAACTATGTAAAGGCAAAGACTAATGGACTGATTAATTAAGTAATTAAGAAACTCCATAATTTATGTATCCTAAGGTTTCATTACTTATAGTTTTTCATAATCTCTTTTCGTTATATATAAATATCCATTGGTCAAAAATATGTATTTACTGAAATTAATTTAAAATTTGATCTATATCGCATGATTCGCTTCCATTAACTGAAGGTGAAATCCATGAAGCAGTGCGGCCGGCACATGTACCTACCGATGTTGCGTCTCAACTCCCACTAACAACATCTTGTTAGCACCTATTGAGACTTCTTACGTCATATTGTCGATCACACCGGGCTCTGACCGAACGTGATCTAATGAGTTCTTTACAACGCCAATCCAAATAGAAAATCTCCGCTCGCTTAAAGCGATTTTAATGAGCTAGGCTCACTCTGCGTTGATATCTCACGAATCGTTTCAATATTAGAAAAAGAAATCATTACTTGAGCATGACTTTAATCTTCACGGAAACTAAATCTTCCAAATTGTTACATATAGACAGCGAGCTGTGATTTGTGCAATGTTCACACTCCATAAAACTTATAAGTACCTTGTAGGTACTTATTGTTCAGGGTAAACGTGTGAAGTAACACCGCACTATGCTGTATCGGTGCAAAACGTACCTGGTAGATCGTCGTGACATGCCTTAATAGTCGGCCGACTTCCGTCGGCGCACCTTATCCTTTTTACCCTCATATATTTTTACTGCGCGCACTAGTAAATTTACTTTACAACATATACATATGACGTCTTTGATATGCCCACGCTTCGGCGTTAAAACCATAATGTACAGTGTACAATGGTCGTAGCTATCAGGAATATTGTAACCGCACGCAGTTAGTGTCACCTTCTCCCATTGTTTGTGCTTCGTTCACGTACTATTTCATCATCGTCGTCGATTTATTTGAAATGAAGACACGCGTCCACATGTTCGACAACATTACCATTTATTATTGTGTTGGTGTAGAGCTTTCGTTTCGCCCGTAGTTCCTTAAACAACGAACGATTATCGATGCGTGTATTGTTTTGCGACGTTTGGCATGTGCGCCGCGTCTCGCGCGCTCGCATCGGGCATACAATGGACGTATTTGAAGCACGTGCTGCGGCTGTATTGATCGTCGTCGAGTGTCGCCAGGTGACTTTGACTTTGTGTCGATTAGCATGAGCGCGAGCGCACCGCGCGATCGTTATCAATTTGTCCGGACTACGGCTGTACGGCCGATCTCCACGCATTGTCTTGTCCTTCCAGCTGTCGTGTGCCCGTCAGCGCCGCTTTGTCTTACAAGCTACACTCCCGGTTCTTTGTCCGCTGATTGACTGAGACCGGCTCGATTAAATCTAGATAATTGCATCGCCAAGGTCTTCCACGAAGTTGACATTTAGACGAGCGGCCCTCATCGTCCTGCGCAGCGCGCGCCTTTTGATTCGCGTAATGAGACGGGTGCGAGCGCGCCGCGTCCGCATAAATCTGAGATAATGGTGTGGAGCGTGAGAGAGCACAGTCGTGCCACCTTAGTTTACGTAATAAGTGGATACGTTGAAATGAATCCGTCGCTGTTCGGAACGCTTATGAAGCCCAATTTCCGCAGTTCAGCTAGTCTGAACGAAAACATTTCCGTTTGATATAGATGTCTCCATTGTGCAGGAATAGGCGCTTCATCTAATATGTATGAGAAACCTTCGTTACATTCGCTGTCATTAAATCAATCGTCGTAATCGTTCATAAATCGAAAACATTTTAAGTCTGTGACCTAAAACAACTAGCTAAGCGAGTGTGGTCGGAGCATTGGCCGCGGCGGCCGCATGTGAGATATGATTAGAAAAAGCAAAGCCATTGTGTCGCGTGCCTGCTGCATGTAGAGCGTAATAAGATTCTCATTTTAATTGGAACATTTTTTATCTGTCACGCGAGTTGTGCGGACACTGGTAACAAAATGTCGGCGCTAGCTAATTGGCTGGTGATGCTCACCTAACATGGAGTCGTGAGATAAACGACGCAGTCACACCGCCGTTGAAAGAATTACAACTTATTCAGAACCGTCTTCACGTTCCGTATTTATACGGTGGTAACTTCATGTAACTTACTGAACATCCGAAACACATTAATAAGCCTTTGATACGGAATTAGGACTGGAGTACTAACACGAGCAATGAAATAAAATTAAATTGTTTATGTTTCCTATAAATTCAACGTGGCTTGTTTCGTTTGCAGGTATATTCACAGTGATGTGTTACAACGTTCTATGTGACAAGTACGCGACGCGACAGATGTACGGCTACTGCCCCAGCTGGGCACTCGAGTGGGACTACAGGAAGAAGGGCATCCTCGACGAGATAAGACATTACTCGGCCGACATCATCAGCTTACAGGCTAGTATTAATGACTACTACTGTCCTTCTAAATATAAAAAATATGAAAAACTATTTTTACCACATTTTCTTTTGTACAGGAAGTGGAAACAGATCAATTCTACAACTTCTTCCTGCCCGAGCTGAAGCAGGATGGTTACGATGGTATATTCTCGCCCAAGTCCCGCGCCAAGACCATGGGCGAATCAGAGAGAAAGTACGTCGATGGGTGCGCTATCTTCTTCAGATCTGCAAAGTATGTACAACTTCTCAATTATTACTTTATTGAATAAGAATTATACGATATGATGGTTCTTGATAGCGGAAATGCCATTCGCAGACTTGTTTCTAGATCGGTTTCCTTTCATTTTTCACGATGAATTGAAAGAGATTTATTACGTGCAACGAACAGTGTACATGACATTTGTATTTTCATAACATAGTTTACAGTTACATTGATAGCTACATTATCTTTAACAATATAATAAAGTCTAGGATTTACCTTCACAAGAGCGACGATGTTTATACGCCCACAACCAACCGCTCACCATACGCATAGATTATAAGTCAATACACTCTTTACTGTCGGAGAAAAAATATCAAAAGCTTATGACTTCATTCCATCGCGCCGTTTATAAAATGTGCTAATAAAATTTTATTTGTTATGTACAGACGTTTAAGATCAACTTTGTATTGCAGGTTCGCTTTAGTAAAGGAGCACCTTATAGAGTTCAACCAACTGGCAATGGCTAACAGTGAGGGATCAGATAATATGTTAAACCGTGTCATGCCGAAGGACAATATAGGGTTGGCAGCACTTATCAAAACGAAAGAGGCGGCATGGGAAAATGGTGAGTACATAATTGTAGCATGCACTCGGTTGCGTGTGGCCCTCCGGCGAGCGATCAAATGTTTCGCTCTGTTTTTGGTAGTGCCTTTGCTTTGTGCCACTTATCGAAGGACTATAATCTTTTAAAAATAAACTTTTAAACTAAGCTCGTAATAAAAAACATGTGTTCACGACAAGCTTTAAAAAATTAAAGCAGCAATACAAATAAATTCAACGGTAATTACAAAATAACGTTTCGTTAAACTAGTAAATCTCTTCCATTAAAATTTCAAAGGATAAAACATCCAGCTCTACCGCAATTCTTAACATTAAATAAAGTATGAGCGGACGCTTACGCTCTTAGCCCTTAATTGAGCCACTGACGCAAACGTTGTAATTTAAATATGAATTTATGAGGGCTCTTTCGCCACTCATCCTCATAAATACATAACGCCACTGCGGCACTGCCCTCCGTCAGAAGCGAACCAACAAAAAACTTAAGTAACAAGCGAAATTTCAACGTCATCGCATTATTTACTTCCGTTTCCGTTCGACCTCCGTCATCGCTCGTGTCATGGCCCAAAAACTATGCATAGAATTCAGATCGTAATAACAAAAAAATTAAATTTTACAGCTTAATTTAGTTTTAACAAAAAATATTTGTAGAAGCACCGACCGGCGCGAATTTCTAAAAGAATATGATAAAAAGCGTGACGGTTTTTTCTGTCATTCTGTCTCGTAATTATCGGTTGTCTATTAACCTAAAAACTGTGCAATCGATTTCTTAGTACTTTCTCTATACGCGGAACACGTACACGCAGCGCTCGATTCAAACAAAGTAACAAGACATAATTCCTACCTATGTATATTGGTTTTTGAGATATTTACAGCGAACATTAAAAGCTAGTTTTTCGTAATACTTACACTATAACGTAGTACATTTTAAAAAAAAATGCTATTTTAAACAAAAACTCACGTTATTAGCATTAATACACTAAAACCAAAGACGAGGAAGCTTCATAGGGAGTAGTGCTAAAACATAACACCACATTACTGCTTTCTTCGGATAAAATAAGAAAAGCAAACTTTACAACTCGGTGTAAAATCCATTCCATATATAACCCAAGCCTACTTGTATAAAATAATTTACTCACCAGGGTGTAGCATTCCTACAAACAAAAAATGGAATTTTGTCAATTTCCTATTAATGATTGAGAAATTGTTCGTAATTATACCGCGCACTCTAAGAAGGGCCTTTCCGTCGTCGGCGTTTGCCGGTAATTTGGACTTACTTAATTTTTTATTTCCTTTCCGGATGTATGGCAACCCTAAAAAAAAAAAAAACCATGGGTGTCCACGTGACCCCATTAGACATAACATTTACTTTTACTCCATTTAAATTTAAACATGAAACTAAGATATTTGCTATTAAGTAAAGTGCGTTCTAAGTGCTTGATTATAATTATCACTGCAGGCGTTGACGTTTCTTGATAATCACTTCATAACAGCAGACAGGGATGAAATGCATGTCCTGCTTTTACTCAACTTTAGATAACTTATCGTTTTGAGCAATAGCTCTTAGCAAAAATAAAACTTGAGCCTTTTTACAATAGCGTATTTTATGGCAGAGGTCTACACACGAGCAGACTTATTACCTGATAGCAAGCAATCGGGGCCGTCTATGGATGGACACTTGCAACACCAAAGGAGTTACGAGTACAATGCCGGCCTTTTAGGGTTTTGGATATTTAAGGGGTAGGGATTGGGCATCCGGTAACCTCGCTCACATGGCGAAACACAACGCTGTCGTTGTTTCACGCCGTTTTTCTGTAAGGCCGTGGTATCACTTCGGTCGAGCCGACACATTCGCGCCGAAGCTTAGCTCACCCACACTTAGAGTAAAGCACTTTAAGCACCTTCACTCGCAAATGTGAGACACAACTATGAGTACTTGAACAAAAAAAAAAACATTATGAGGCTACCGTCCTTTTAATTTAAACTCGGCGGCGGATCTTTCAAGTCTTAATTAACATTAAATTAAATTATCTCAGAGAATAATCTCGCGAATTATGTAATCATTTACATATAACGAGATGCTTAGAGTTATGTGATAGTGAACACGTGTATGGGAATTACTAGGAATATTTAACTAGGCATTCGCTTAACACTCTTCTCAGGATTATATTGTACTTGTGTTACACTTGGGTCTAATTAAATTGTGTACGGAATTTGATGAGTCACTTACATATATTTCAAGTTTAGCTATAGTATGGTGCATTTATCTTTTTTATTCTTATAACATCGTTAAGGGATTTTTAACTATGTCTCATGTATGTACTTTCTGTAGGTAAGTCCTAACTGTGTCAAAAGCAAAAAGAAATTTAGTCAGCAATAGACCCTGATTTGTAAAATATCTTACTAAATTTATTACTGCACACTACAATAGTTTTGTTTCAAAACAAATGTCTTTTTATTCGTATCGATCCTCTAATGTCCTCCATATTGATTATATTTCTTTTTCACAATTACAGGATTACCAACAGATTCATCAATGCTCGGTCAACCGATCCTTGTATGCACGGCGCATATACATTGGGATCCGGAGTTTTGCGACGTGAAGTTAATTCAAACGATGATGCTGAGCAACGAGCTGCGGACGATACTCGACGAGTCGGCGCGGTCGTTACGTCTGGCTGGCCAGAGAGACAACGTACAGCTACTGCTGTGTGGCGACTTCAACTCGTTGCCAGATAGTGGTGAGTGAAACTATGCTACCAAGGGAATTGGGGCTGCAAGATTAGTGAGCTCTGAGAACTTACCCAAAACAGCAAAATTCAATAAGAAAAACTCCTTTTTATATCTATTTGGGGCTTACTTTAATATACAATTAAAAAAAATAGTTTTATGTAAGTAATAAAACTATGAGGGGGTAGGTTCGAAAGCTGCCAAGTAGGTACCAATGTGACTTTTTCCGAGTCATGTATACTCAATTCTTAATCTTAATCCTACACCACGGACATACGGTGAGGGAAAGCTTCGTGGGCAAACCTGCACTTATAATGTCTAATTATAAGTTTGAAGTCGCCAAACCGCTTTAAGCGAGCGTGGTGATTAATGCTAATTTTTTCTGCTTCTGAGCTTTGCTCTGTAGTGGGCACTAAAAGGCTGATTATGTGTTTTGCATATTACTTTAATAGCACAAAAAGTAGTTACTTACATAGTTTTTTCTTTGTAGTAAGCTACATTAGTATTCGATATATGAACTAGTACTTTGGCTGGTTAGTTTACATACGATTAATGATCTTCCCATACCAATAAAACATATCCGAATACTCAAATTCCAAGGATCCAAACTAACAAAGCACAACTAAGTAAGTAGACAGATTTATCGATCTGTTTTGTCACAGAACGCCACTAACTTAGACACTTTATTTGACTCTTTGTCATTTACGAGTGTACCCGAAACAATGATAGCTCCGATGTCGAGTTTACGACATTTGCTAAGCCTACGTTTCTACTAGGCCATAATATATGACCCGGTTTTTATGTGATTTATCTCAAAATCAATCAATTTCTTCATTTTCTATATTGCCTTTTTGGATCAAGCTATTTATTTAAGAGGGGGATTTTATTGCTGTGCTTTGTAGGCCAAGAACGGATACAGGTTACTTTAAAGTATTACCGTTTTGATATTTAGTTTACAGTCTAATAGACTGTAAAATAAATATCAGAGCTTTTGAAAACGTATTTTTTGCGTGTTTAGTTTGATTTTTGCCAACTGACCGATCTAGTCAGGACACCTTTTGGTTTATTTCATATACATTTAAACTTCTTTTCTATAATTTAAAAGTTATACCATTACTATTAATTATTCATAAATATTGTAATATTTCAGGTGTGGTAGAGTTCCTATCGTCAGGCCGTGTGTCGTCCGAGCATCGTGACTTCAAAGAGCTGGGTTACGCTGGCTCCCTTCGTCGCATGCCCGGCTCCGAACACGAGTTTACGCACAACTTCAAACTCGCATCAGCATACAGCGAAGACATCATGCCCTATACTAACTATACGTAAGTATCTTTATTTATTTACTAGCAGACCGCCCTTGCTTCGCACGGGTACCCGACTTCCCCGGTGTCAGTCATTTGTTTTGCAAGTGAACGGCCACGGCGTGGAAAGGGTTGTTAATTACCGCTATTCCCCTTTACTTTTCTAAAGTTTTCTCTCGTAAGAACCTTCTCCTTATAATAACGAACATAACAAAAAAAGAATTAGCAAAATTGGTCCAGGCGTTATTGAGTTATGCGCTTACCAACACATTTTGCGATCCATTTTTATATATAAGATTATTATTTATGCACATCACACATACAGTAAATAGAGAACAAATACAGAGACAGAGGTGCATAGTAACTGCATATTTCTATATGGAATCTCTTCCTGCAGTCCTTCGAAAGAAAAAATGTAAGAGACACAAGACACTGTGTAATAAACTAAAACAATAGGAAAAAGAGAAATAGGAAATTTTTCTTCTCTTCAGTATCTTTTGATGTTTTCAAAAATCTAAGATAAGATATTTTATTTGCATCGATGAATCGTAAGTTTGTTTATAAAGCGCATAATATTTTTTATAGTAGTTGGATTTGACTAACGCAGATCAAATTCACGACTTACTTTCATGAATAAAGTAAATGTGGGAGAGCCATGTTTAGTGTGAAAACCGGCGTGAAGCAACACATATGATTCTGATTGAAGCCCAATCTTACCTCCATCATCCTCAATCTTCAAATCGTGTATCCTTAACTCCTTAATAACCCCAAGAGACTTCAGATCTCATTTGTAATAACTTCGTTGTTATGACGAGTTAGTTTCCACAGGTGGTGCTGATTGCTTGCCACTAGGTATTTCGTGCGATTCCCGACTTTGACATTAAAAAATATCTGAGTAAAGCTCTAATAGTTTCAAGTCATAAAGGGACTCTTATTCATATTCAGCAGAGACGCGTTCTCTAATTTCTCAATCAATTCGCTCGAGTAAGTCGTTATTTTCAATCAATTTAGTATGTATCAAGATAAAAACAAATATATGCATAAATGGTTAATTTGTTCAAATAATAACAATCTTTCTTCGCTTTATTTTTATATAAATTAGTCACAGTTACTATTCAAACCAGTGTCGCAATTCGATTCCGTAAGATTATTAGCGAATGGTATTGCATTACATTATTAAATTTCAAGACTTTAGAATCTGATTTTGCGGGGTCAGATTTTGGTGTTGAATTATTTTTCTTATACATTTTTTGTTTTATCGTCAACTATGAGATGATTACGCCTCCGGTAACCTCACTCACACGGTAAAGAACGTAAGCGTTGTTTCACGACGGAATTCATTGAGGCCGTAGATTCGCTCCGGGCAAGCCGAAAAGCATGGCTCTCCTGCTCTTAAAAAGAACATAAAATACTACACTCTTGAATGTGTTGGTGATATATTATGTATTCTACTGTACTGTTATCACACGTCTTTTGTTTCAAAGTATGCACCTATTAATGAGTATTATTATTTTGTTTTCAGGTTTGACTTTAAGGGTATCATCGACTACATATTCTATAGCAAGCAATCAATGACCCCGCTTGGTCTCCTGGGACCTCTGTCTCAGGATTGGTTCCGAGAGCACAAGGTAGTCGGATGTCCACATCCCCACATACCTTCAGGTGAGAATATTATATCAGTAATTGCATCTTTTTTTTTCGCTTGACGCATTACTCTTGACTCTTGTCATGTTTAAACCACTTAAAACATTTTCGAAAGAATTTATCAGTTTCATATAGACTAGGTGGTTTTTTTTATACTACTATGCAGTATAAATGGGGTAAACAATTGCAATACATAATAATATGCAAAAAACTAAATAAGTGAAGGAGTTTCTACTTAATTAAGAGAGTGTAGATCTAGCCTAAAAATAACGCAGTACGGTCTAGGTCTGATTCGAAGTGTGTTAATGTGAATAATGTTCCGTGTTGCAGACCACTTCCCGCTGCTGGTGGAGCTGGAGATGTGTCCGACGGCGAGCGCCAACTCCAACGGGCTCATCGGGCGCAGGTAGCACGCGTCGCCGCGCGCGCGCAAGCACAAGCGGCACAGCGCCGCGTAGCGCACCACCCGCCCCGACCCACGCCGCCGCGCGCCTTCGGACTGCTGCCCATCCTCCACTCTACGTCTGTTCATCTTATGCTTCCATTATACTAAACTTGTAACTCTCACACCGACTTGTTCGTGCGATTGGAAGAAGTAGACGCAAATTACGAATTGTATATTTACCCTCATTGACTACTTTCATAAGAGATTACCTATAAAAACTTCTACTTTTCCCAACTCGCCCTATGTCTATTTATCTATATTTAAATTAACTGACCAAGAGGTTGCCTAGATCGCAGGTGACGGTTACAGAGCTGCGTGTCGCCTCCGTCTATTGTACTTCCTATCTCGCTCACGTTTTCTGAACAAATGTTTCATGCACAGCTATACATATACACTTACACGGAGATATACACTTACGCGGATACACTTTCCAAGATCTAGGCAATGCTCGAATGAATGCAACTTGTTAACTATGCTGATTAAAGTCAAATTAAATATTGATTCGTTGTTGAGAAATATATAGTAGGTCGAATATTTCAAACTACAACCACTTATATCAAAGTTCACTCTAAAATATACTTTACAAATATCAGTAACTAGCTTATGAATCGTTTATGTACAAATAACTTAGTCTTAAGTACTTACTTAAAATCATCTCATAGTATACTCTGCGTTGTTTTTGTTATCGCATGGTTAGGACACAAGCCGTCTCCGACCTGGACGTTACTTTAGGTGATAGTTACAAATGTATTTTGTATACCGTTGCAGATGATACCGAACGTCGTTCTCTATTCACTGGACATTAGTACTGAACTAGTGCTCTAGTAATTACTGTCTCGAAATTTTGTTTTGCTCAATAAAGTTTAGAAGTTAACACGATCCTGTTTAGCCTGTGAGTTGATTAGTTAAAGCAAATTAGAATTTACTATAGTTAAATTAAATGAACGAAATATTTTAGAGAAATATATTATAAAGGAATCATTTTGTCTAATGCCGCTGAAGTTCGTGCTGGAGAGGTGTGGTGGATATATTTTTGTATAGTTACAATCAGGCAATACAAGCACTGCCTCGGAGAGTACAAAGAAGCGGTGCTCGGCCGGCGTGTGCCGCGGCGTATTGTTGCTACAACTAGATGAATTCTTTACGTTTCAGTGAACAGACAACGGACCCTAGATTGTTAGTATTACGTTAGTTAGATGCATGGGAAGTTAACATGAAGCCTTTACATTTTTGGGAGATTGTAAGTTAGTTGTGCGTGGCGAATGACAGTGCAATTGATTATAACGAATCTGACTAAAATTATGTAGTTGTTATTTTAAATATTGATTCAATAAAATATGAATGAACTAAATTGTGACCTACGCTTATTGTGTCAATAAAATTGTATGGAAGAATCGTAAAGATACATATTTTTTCAGTCGATAACGACAGCAATTTTACGCTTAGTTTTTCGATGTATTATACTATACAGTTGAGGAATATTAAATAGCAACGACCGCGGGAAAAAATAAAATGATCAGGACGCCATGTTCGTGTCTCAATAAATACTTCTTAATTTCTTGGCGTCGCTCTGGTGTTTTACTTTTCAGTTAGAGCGCGGTACTGGCGGTACAGTCGATTACATAATAAACATTATTTGTAACATCAATGTCCTCATTTGTGAGATTCAAACGTCCATTTATCAATTAGTGAAATAAATTCCTCCACTGTATATTATTTAGATAATATTTTTGGGATTATTATGCAATGTACGTGTCTGTGAAGCGGTGGAGATGCGAGGGCGTACCTTTAAGTCCTCGCGCCTCGACCTGCGATGTGTGTGGGATCAGTGAGACTAGTGTTCGGTGAGAAGGCGCGCCTTGCACGGGGACGAGTCCAGCACGACCCGCAGTACGGCATACATAGCATACATAGCGACCGACGTCCCCGCGCGGCGTGCGACCGTACTCGTACTTACGAACTTGTTATATAGACATAGCGCGATAGTTGGTACTTTCAGGGCCGGGTTGTAAGATAGCTATCATAAATCTTTAATAATGTAATAGAATATTTGAATTATTTTTGATACTTAATTAACTATTATAAAGTTTTATATAGAGACCATTGTTAAATCTAACACTGCCTACAAAGTGACATCACGTGTGTGCAATAAATTTTAATATCTTAAGTGATAATGTGAAGTGATATAGTGTTGTTTCATAAATATATTATCTGACACGGACGTTGTGTTGGGACGAACAACTAGTTGCTGCAGCTCCGCGGAGTGGCTGCGGAACAGTGTGCACATAGTGATGTTTGCGTTCATTCTATTTTATTTGAATAGGCCGTTGCGTGCCTACTGCAGTCCTGCAAGAAGTTATGTAACCTGAAGCAATCAAAGCAATAGATATATAGTCGTAGCAGCTAGCAATGAGTATAGAAAGACATAGTAGAGTCTGTAATGACGAGTGAGTGCCTTTCGTAGTGAGGTGCTGAGCCGTGGTCTCCACAACATCACTTGCCTCCCTTTACTTGGTAGGATTGTGTTAGCCCCTCTCTTCCCCGCCCGAAGCGCAGTGCTCCAGCTTCGCGGGATATTATTTGTCCTCTTCTACGCCGTTCGGTTATTGTCCAGTGTTACGTGAACTTCTTGGTCGTGAAGACTGTCTCACTGATCGGTTAATGTAATATTTGGTGTAGGTTTAGGCATCTCTATCGATATTGTAGACTCGATGACGTTCGGTTCGATTGTCGGTAGTCGGTGTGGCGCTGAACAAAGTAGTGCGGCGGCCGTTGGGCCGGAGTTAGGTTAATTGTGACATCGAGTGTACCAACAAACTACTCAGCGAGACATGTATACCCTCCCTCTATCTCCCGTACCCCTCGCGACTTATAGACGTCTGTGCGTGTGTAACTGGAGAGTTGTGTAGCTTAGTGTAAGTCTTGAGTTTTATATGAATGGTCTCCTTCGGCGGTCAGTTGCCACCGGACGCCCCCCTCCCTAGCTGTAAGTAGGTTATAATTTTGTTATGTGACGATCGAGACCCTCCCCATTTGAATTTACGCATCATTTTTGCTATTCACAAAATAGTTATCGTTAGTTATTAAGGTGTTTCATTTGGTTTCGTAACTTTTTCAGTATTCGCGTCGTCTCAAGGTCCGATCAAAAATTGCGAAACGATGTTAGATGCATTTTATTTTTAGTTTTAGTAAGTTTTTTAATTGATGTTCCGGAGGCGTCCGACGGCGAACCGCTCCACTCTAGTAATAGCGGGTATAGCATACTGGCGTAGTACAAATGTTTGTGTGAGTGTCGATAGTAGTAGGCGTGGTTACTGCGTCGGCCAGGAACTCTGTGTATTGCTAGTCAGGGCGCAGGTTGACGCATCGCATCCGACTCGCTGCTGAAGACGTTCAATCCCGCGTCGTTGTAGCCAGCCGTGTACGATCGATCGATCTCTTGCGCAAAGTTCTCGTTGTGAAGCGTTAGTTGTTTCTTCGGAATAAGTAGTGATATTTACAAAACAAAAAATTAATCACCTATATTATAAACAAAAACTATTTGGACCACTGCATAGTTGTATCTACGCTTATTTTTGTCATCTCCATCGGAATTATTTATATCGAATAATTGATTTTGAATATTTTTATTCAGTATATTATATTATTATGTATATCAAACGACAGGTGCTGTTGTATTTAATTTTTAATGTTACTAATGTGATTGTGATAGGGATACGTCTCTCTTGTAATCTATCTGATGTATTGTGAAGAAAAATTAAGCCAAATCATAAAAAGGGTATATTGAATTATTACTTTTAGGATAAAGGAGTTAAAATGAAGTTTTATACGAATCAAATTTTACTACTGACGCTGTATAATTTTTCTAAGTACAGTAGATTTAAAATCATATCATGATGATCTTGTTCTAGTACTCGTGTAAATTAATGTAGGTTTTTAAGACTGTTGTGACGTGACGCGGTGGAACTGGTCCGCTGTCCGAGCACAAAGTACGCGGCGACGCGCGACCTCACTACCTAGTTACATGGCGGCGGAACGGTTCCACCGTACAATATCCAATTTGCCTTCATAGCACACGAAATTTTCAAATGTTAAATTTAAGTTGACATGAGTATTCGAAATGATCCAATGTTAATTCACTTAATTAAAGATATCCGCATATAGATTTTTAAAATAGTAGTGAGTATTTTTGCATTTACCGTGTTGTCAGTACCTAATTATACGATATCTTATGAAGCATAATAACAAGGACTACAGTCCACCTCGGAACAATAGCAATACAATAGGGCAACAATTATCTACTAAGATTTGGCTTTACATGATTCTGTATTCTGAGTTATACTTACGCGATTCCGTAACAATTTATTTGCCATCGTATATTTTATAATAGTGTCAATTTACCACCACATTCAGTTTTTGCACTGCAACACATATCTCCAACTGTTACTAAATGGACAGGCTGAGTCTGTTTTTTGTCCAAAAATCAGTCCAGTCTTGGGAACTTGGAATATGATGCAGGTGCAAGCCAAGCTATGTTCACCATACTGTAAGCGATCCATAGTCCGTTACATAATGACATACACTATACAGTATTTAAATATACCAATAGAATAACCACGGTGCGTAAGTATCGCTTATGAATAATCTAGAGCTTTATTGCAACAAGTTTATCTTATTTGTAGAACATATATGATCTCTTTATTTTTAATAGAATTTTGATGGACATTTTTACTTAATAGTTGTAGCAGTGTGTAGCGTTGAAATAGGAATTTTTATCGCACATTACATTTGTTATATTCCACTGTAATTATATTAATTGATTTACATAAACTGATGCCATCCAAAATTGTTAAAAAGCACTTTCTGTTCGTGTCGTTGAAACCTCTCCATAATTATTATAATTATTGAATCGTCTTTTTAATACATATTTCATTTCAATATTGTGCTATTGATAATTCCTTTTGGAATAATTTTATTTGTACATAATACTTGTATAATATCTTCATTTCTGTTTAATGTAAATATTCAAAACTGTATTTGTATTCTCCTGATAGCTTTTCCAACGGGAGGCTTCAACGATGCTTCTAAGTTTTGGATAGTTCTTCGAATGAACCACATAAGCCTTCATGTTGTGTGTATATTTAATTTGTAAATATGTAATTTCGATAACAATTAATGCTAAACAACGAGCGAGCCGTCGCATATTGTCAGCCGGTTGGACTTCTGCGCACACTGAGCCCGACAGACACAGCTACGGAACACTTAGCCTTCTTCTAGGAACGACAGACATTCCACAGGCACCGAATTAGCTCAATATGAAAGACTGTTCGAGACTTTAAAATGGATATCATGATAATTAAAAATATTTTCTGAAGCACCTTAACGAGTTTACAAAATGTGTTTTATGGTGATTTAATGATAAGATCGCAATGTTTAACTCACTAGTATGTAAGGACAAATGCTTTACGACACTGTGATAGACAATACAAATTTACCTGAGAGAGACACCATAGGCATTTATGAGAAATTTAGGGGAATTGTCATTGAAAAGGAATGTTACATGTACTCTCAGATTAAGAAACGGACACCGCTTGGCTTTGTGATCAGTTTAAAGCAAATGGTGAGACCGCAACATTTGATTTCAACACCTTAAAATTATGATACCCGTAGTCACAGGAACAACCGGTGTTTGTTTCCCCACAAGTGTATAAACATCTATTAAAGTACAAAGCGTATGTGCAGAAGTTCGGTCGCGGCTCGATACTGTGTTCGAGCGGCTGTGTGCGTGCGCATGAGTGTGCTTGTGTGCCCGAGAGTGGCGTAGTCTGCGCCCGCGCGGCCCGCGTCTCGCTGTTCTGTTTGTTGATACATTATGTATATTTGAAGGAATCAAAAATTATAAGATGAATTTTACTACTCGACTTTTATTTGTTCCCTTTAAGTGTATTCATTACTTTCAACAACCTTTATTCATGAGCTAAGATGGTAACATAATTTATTTTTTATGATTTTGTTCCGCAAATGAGCTCCCTTTGCTCGTTGATAAAGCGGTGCCGTGCATGGTCACCCAAAACATCGAAAAGTTACGATTGCGTTGCTGGCCTGTTGAGGTTTGGGTTTTGATTATTTAGGGGAGGACTTGGTAAGCGTCAGGGCCCCTGGACAAAGACAGATATTTTATGTTTAAAAAATACCAAAATTTAGTATTTTTTTGCCTATACCAAAATACCAAAATTTAGTATGTTTTAACCTAACTTCCAATATTTAGTACCTCAACTGACAGCGAAAGAACACGTAAAAAAAGTGGTCAGCCATTTTGACATCAGGATGTCTGGACCATCTGTTTTTTTCATAGTTGGGCCTTTGGTAACCTTACTTACACAAAGAAATACATTGGAAGCTTTGTTTCACACTGATGGCCCGACTCCAGTTAATTTGTGAATAAGCATAAATCTAGCTTACTCTCTTATCATGCTGTTTCAAGGTAATTAAACTACATATCATCAAATACAACATGCTAAAAAAGGCTGTAGTTACATCTAAAAATATTAATAAATAAATTAGAATGATACAATACAAAAACAATTTCAATTTACACTTTATTAATCCTAATCACTACACTACAAATAATATGGTAAAATTAAATATATTTGAACACAACATCTTTAAAGCTGTCAACTGTCTGTAATTCGAGGGTGACAGGACACTGCAGCCAATTAGACAACAATTCTTCAGAGTAACCAAGTAGAAAATACATTTTAGTTGGTGACACAGCACGTCTGATGATTGCAGCAACTCGTATGTGGTTGAACTGCCTTTTGATTATAACCTGCAACATGTTATTTATTTATCATACATAATGCAACTTTGTTACAAAATTGTAAGTTTTATTTGACACGGAATCAGTAATCTATTGCTCAGTTAACTATATCACCAATAGAAATAACAATATGCTTACCTCACTGCAAACAAGGCTATGCCAAGTACCATTCATAAACCTTCTAATGAATTCATCTTCTACTGCTGTCTCAGACCTCCTCAGACCATCCTTTAAATTTGCTAAAAAGACATTGGAAGTTTAATTGTTGACTACAGGCCTTTCAAAATTCTGGATTTTAATAACTGCTATTATTTATTATCAAATCTATAAATACTTACAAGTATTCCAAGAGTTCCATGATTTACGGTGAGCAATGTAATGTGGAGGGTTAGCCATTTCGTATGTAAGCGGCCTGTCCCGTTTTTTCGTGATCCTGTATTTTCCTGATACCACACGGCATAGTGGAGCAGACGTGTGCAATTGAGAAGCTAGTATTGGTGAACATTGCGCTATAACACTGCTAGTACCGAAACCCGACTATAAAAAGAGTAAACATAAAAACCAACATTAAAAATTAGGTAATCAAACAGAAGTGTTTTATGTATCCAATAAAACAAAGAATCAATCTTACCTGGAGAAGTTTTATAATAGAAGTATTCATATTTGAATTATTTGTTTTTTTATGCAGTTAAGAACAATAATATTTATTATTTCATGCCATAAAATGAGTTGTTGAGGTTATATTCTTATATTGTGAACCTGTGAATATGTCAAATTAATGGATCAGTCAATTTATTTTAGTGATTTGACAGTACAACTTTGACAGTTAGTTTTGCGTTTCGTTACAAAAAATAATACTTTCAGATTTCAGATGGAATTAATGGTCAAAAATATTTATCTTAAGAATAATCAATAAGACAACATTCCACAAAATAAATTACTTTATTATGAAGATACGAATTAAAATTTTATATATAATCACGTGGTATAACTAACGTAGGTGGCCAGTTCTTATCTCACAATAAAACCGCAATTAATTACAATGTGTTTATTACTGGATTATTTGCAAACATAGTTAAAAGCTGCGCTAAGTAATGCATTTTCTTTTGTAATTATCTTTATCAAAATTAAGTACAAATTCATTGAAAATTTAATTATCTTCATATCTCACCAATTTTAGTTACATATTATTTAATGAGCATTTTAGTGATTAATTTGATGGTTTTACGAAGAAGTTGGCAAAAAATTACAATGCTCTTGTACAAAGGAATAAACCTCATGAGATTTTATTTTGCTTCTGTAATTTTATTAACATGTGTGTGTTGCAAACATGGTAAGTATAATATTTAAGTATCTACCTACAAATTAATAGTACGTTATGGTAAAAGTGTGTAATGTTGGTGGTTGCCGCAGGCGCTCTCTAGGTGAGGGTCCTTAAGAGCCGATGCGCTAAAATGCTATCCGCGATAAGCCAAAATAAGAGAAACATAATTTTTGTCTATGGCCGATGTGCGCGCTTAGGAATATTGATTAATTTTTCCCGCCATTACGAAACATTTTTTACAACTTGTCTCGTTTTCTCTTTTGAAGTTCTTTATTTAAGTCAAATATATTAACACAGATACGCTCACAAAACGCACGAAAAATGTGTTCCGCGCCAAGCGTCAGCACACTCACATACATAGGTACCTACTTTTCATTAATTGTAGATACATGTTACACTACAAGTTAAAATTTTAGAAAAAGGATAGTATGATATATCCAACAAAAAAAAACATATTAGCTATTGTTATCAATTACGTACCTAGGTAGATACTCAATACTCAATAGGTACTCAATATCTTTATTGGTTTTCCATAAGTTCATTTAAAGGAGGTAACAATTTGTGTGAGATCAATTATGGACCCTGTAGGGCACAGCAAAATAAGGCAAACAGGAGAGAGGAAGCTCTGTTTTAATATCTTAAAATAGATTAATTATATTTAAAATAACTTGATTCTATTTAAAGTAACTTAATTCTATTTAAAATAACTTATTTATATTTAAAATAGAATTCAAAAATACGCATCATCATCATCATCATCATCATCATCAGCCCTTTTCAGTCCACTGCTGGACATAGGCCTCTCCTATTGCACGCCACTGGGGCCGAAGATCGATCCCAAAAATACGCAAAATAAGTATATTATGGAGATCATTAATATCACTTTTCTTGTTTCTTTTCTTAAACTTTCTTTTCTTAGGCTACAATTGTATTGTTTTATCTAAGGTTACTAAATTTACTTGTTTTTCTTATTTATATATTATGTACCTACATTTGTAGTTATAGTTAGGTATATGGTAATTATAAATATATTTATTATATTCAATTTAATTATTTGTTTTATCTGTAAGATATTCGTTTATAGTGCAGTAAGATTTTTTAAATTTATTTATGAGTATGTTTAACTTTTTTTCTTCTTTTATTTAGTCGGGTAGTTTGTTGTAAATTTTAATTGACATTACGTAGGGACTCGTAGAATGTAGTTTGAGTTTGGTAAACAAACATTATTTTACGAGAGACTAATTGCACTTGCATACAAGTGTATCCTTTTCGAGTCTTCACTTTACCGCGCTTATAACATATCTGTTAATATATAATATCATTGATTTAAGTATTATTTTATTCAGAAATGTGTTGAAAAACGTCGTATGATACACGTGTGTATTGATGTGATTACCGCCTTCGACTTCTTAAGACCAACTTTACACACTTACACCACGTAATTTTATTTCAAACTAGTGTTTAGAACATTTAGTAACCTCTATTATTCATTCCTATTTCCTTAATCAGAAGTAGGTCAAATCTCAACCAAAATAATTCCATTTTTCCCCTTTCAGTTGATAGAAAGACTAATAATAGTACAATTAAATCAATGATTGTCGAAGGAATAATGAAAAAAGTTTCTAACTTAACACTGGGTGCTTTATCTAAAGTTTCTGATAAGAAAAAAGAAGCAATTTTAAATAAAATTGAGAATAAATTTATAAAATCTGCTAAATCAATGGGGCTTGATTCAGATAAATACGTTAAGTTTATCCTAGAAGAGTTTAAAAGAAAAGCGTTTGAACCTAATAAGGATGATAAAAAGAACGCTTCTGAACTTATAAGAAAAAGTGTAATGATAAGAACCAAAGAAGCTCCATCACTTCGGATCAACATAGACTCGAAAACAAAGGAAGAAGTTATAAGAGATATAGCCAATAAAATTGAGTCGCTTGCAAGAAGGTTTATAAAAGATGCTAAAACAGTAGAGGGTAAGAAACAGGTATTGGAAAAAATTAAGAAAAGAATAATTGATTCCGCTAAGCAAAACCACATTCGGATTCACTCCCAACATAACGAACTTAAAACATATAATAGTCTTATAGAAAAAGGTCTCGAACTATCGATTCAAAACATGCTCGAACAAGAAACTGTTGGAAGACGAACGGATACTCAAGTGTTAAATAAAATGGACGAACCAATTATGGCAAAATATAAAAGAAAAGATGAAGAAGTGGACGCATTCAATGATGTCGAATTGAGTATAGAAGAAATTAACAGATATAAAAAGTTAATATCTCATACGTTAAATGATACTTCCATAGACCCACGCTGTGATGCTGTTATAAAAGATACTTGTCTCAACATTCAATCTTTTGGTAAAATTTCTTGTGATAACAAAATGATATCCATTGTTCATCTTTGTGATGGCGTTTCTGACTGTATGGATATAAGCGACGAAAAAAATTGCACGGCTCAAGGTAGGCAAAATAATTATTGCTTAAGTTTTCTTAGCGTCTTCATTTTAATCCAAATCTTAATATTCTTTTATTTAAAACACAACATGCCACTATTAAATAGAAGGATTCAATTCCAGAGATGGTTTGTTGTTGACTGCACGCTTGGCCGGTGGCTGGGCAACTGGCTGCCGTGCAACGTGTCGCGGGTTCGATTCCCGCACGGAACAACCCTGATCCACAAATTGTGGTTCCGGGTCTGGGTGTGATTTGTATGTTTGTAAACGCACCCACGACACAGAAGAAGTAAGGTGGGGCAACGTTTTTATAAAGAAAAAAATAAGAAAAAAGAGTCGAACAAAGTATACAGGGTGTAAAAAGACACTTAACGAAGCCGTTAACTACGCATACTGCAGTTCTAACTAAGTAGCTTTACGCTAAAATTATCACTGGGAAAAGACTTTTATTCTTAGGTATCAAAAAAAAAAAAAATTAATTGCGCGCAATGTAAAGCAAACGGGCTTCGTGTCATTGTGTGCGTAGGTTCACAGCTTAGCATTAAAACGCTGTGATAAGTACGTAGCTCGACGTTTTACTTTACAACAACAAAACAATTCTGTAAAATAAAAATCCTACTGAGATGCACGATGTTTTTTGTGCGGGTCTGCATTTATTTATTACGTAATTACTGTTCGTAACTTCAAATGCGTAATTTATTTAGAAAAATCGAAACTGGTAATATTTGTTTGGAAAAAAGTTATGTAATTAAAAAAAAATACTTAGAATTCGATTGGGCAAAAAAAAAATTAAAAATGCATTTTTGACCTTCAATATCTCGAGAACCCGTGGAGTCCCAGCTATGGTCTTAAAGAAAAAAAATGATCCAAATAATGGGTAGAATACGTGGCTTTCGGCTTCGTTAATTGTCTTTTTACACCCTGTATGTAAAAGACCGTTTTCAGAAAAGCGACTGAAATAATACACAATGGGTTTGCGGTAACCGCAATTACAAATATAGCACACGCAAGCGTTGTTTCACACCAGTTTTCTGAGAGGTCGTGGTATCACGAGATTTATCATCAGTCGGGCCTACCCATTTGTGTCGAAGCACGGCTCTCCCACGCCTACAACAATTTGCATACATACAACTGTTTTAATATTTCTCAGATATAACTGCCATTTTTATTGTTTATGTTTTATTCTTATCCTATCCTATGTCATGCTCCCAGTTCTTACCTTCCTCCCTACGAATTTTCAGCTAAATCGGTTCAGCCGTTCTTGAGTTGGAGTGGAGTAACTAACACGACTTTCTTTTATATATGTAGATATTGTTTGCACATATTTATTAAGTATAGTTCTACAAAAACGTTTCCATCTTTATAATTTAATAAAAATAGATTTTTGTTTTCTAGCCATGGATAAGGTACGCAAAGCTGGATCTGTGATGAAAGATATAGAAGCCTCAATTCATCAAAGATGTTTTGCAACAGCAAGTTCTTACCTTTTATCGTCACACAATCAAATGTTGCGAGATGTACTGAGAACCGAAATGGGGTATTTAGAAAAATTACAAGCCAAACCAGATTCGAAAGCAGCAGAAAAAGAAAAACCAAACGATAAAGATGCATTTTTACAAAGAACTGTAAATGACGTGAATTTAGTTCTAAATACTTTGTCTTATGCTCTAGATGGCACGCTTTGTGCACGCTTTGCACTAGATCCAGATGAAGTCTTTACTCGAAAATTGAATGATGAATTTGATGACCTTATAGGCAGACCACAGGAGCCCGGCTGGTCACCAAAATCATGTTCCTGTGAAGGACAGTATTGTAAAGACCCAGATTGCGAAGGCATGTGTAAACGAATATGCTGGGAAAGATACAGTTTAAGCCGTTGGGGATGTCAAGCGCTTAATACTGCAACGAGTGTTTCACTAGATACCATATGTGATGGAAAACTTGATTGTTTTGATGAAAGTGATGAGGAACAATGCACGACAGGTAAGACGTCAATTGGGTACTTCACAACTACCTAGCCTAATTCATCTTTTTCTAATTAGCTAAATTGTCAGGTTACATAAATTTTGTATTATTCAGGATTGCGTACTGTGACGTGGTTTTTGTGATAAATGGTACGTAGGTATAGGTACTAGTTCGTTTCATTGAAAATTTGCTAGAGTTAAAAATCATAGGTATACTACAAGTACTTATTCTGTTGCATTAAAACATGAAACTACAACAAACAAATACCTATCTAATATATTTTATTAACTCATGTACATTAATGCAAAAGGTCATTTACAATTACTCTATTCAAAATTGGTTGAATAAACTTCGGACATAACACCTTTATTAAAATGGTTAGAAATTATGATTTTTTTATTCATTGGCTTTTCCTTGTGCTTATGCCACTTCAATTACAGCTGTCTGGTGTTTAGTTGTTATCTATTTTATTTTTAATCGCTCATTAATTATTATTACAGACGCGATTTCGACGAAATTTGATGCTATTAAAAAATTCAACGACGTATTAGACATACTATCAGGAAAGTCTAAATCGTACGAGTACAAACGCAGCCACAAAAAGGTGCTTGAATTGCATAGTACAGTTCGTCAATTACAAAAGCAGACTCTTAAAACTAATTATGATAGTCACATTATAAAAGATCTGAGAGATGAAGGTTTTCTACAGTTAGTCTCTATATTTGATGACTTAATACAAACATCTACCTTAGATGAACTGGATGAGGAATATTTAACTTTACTCTCAATCAATGAAAAATTGGTAGTTGCTCTAAAGTTATCTCACACTGGAAATGAGAAAATAATATCACCAGAAGGGTGTTACTGTAGGGATGGACTCTGCGCTCTGCGTAGATGTAGCAAGAGTTGTATTCATTCATGTCTAGCGGAACCTCTACTAACCAGATATTCATGTAGTCTTAGTAATGTAAGCGTGCCTATTGACACAATTTGTAACGGAAAAACCAACTGTCCCAACGGAGAAGATGAAAAAGATTGTGTTAAAGGTAAGATAGAAACACAATTTGCATCAATATATATATATGTGTTTCCATTTAACGATGAATAATTTGGTGTTACAGATGTTTGTCGGGCACATCATCTAATATTGTTACGTCATAAGTTAAAAAATATAGGAGTGAATGACAGGTCTTCCGTAATGACTGAAGTACTCGACTCTTGGAAATCTAAGGTGGGTCACAAGATAGTAATATTGAATAATGTTTTAACCGTCCAATTATCCCTAGTTTAAAACGAATGTTGGTTTTAGGTTTTAGCCGCGATTTACATCGCTGAGTCTGCCGAAAGACCCAACCATAAAATAATGGTTGATGTAATCAATCATGTTCTTAAAGACCTTGTGATGGCATTTGCGTCAATGGATGAGTTTAAACGATCCACCACCGATCATGCACTGAAGGAATTTGAAGCTATTTCTAAAACTGTAATGGACACGTTGAAGTCTTGTTCTTATTAAAATGATTTGTGATTTATCGCATTTTAATTTCATTTTCTTTATCTTCATCATCATAACGCTCCTTACTCGGCAAAATTATGTGTGTCCCCGACGTGTGTAAGTATATCACGCCTCACCAGATAAGTGCCAACGAAGGATATTTACAGGGTGTAGTGTGGAATGGCAGAATGATGTGGCACTGCACATAGATTGACAACAATGTCCAACAGATGGCGTAATAAATCCTACATCGAGCTGCTGAAGTTTGCGCGCTAAAAAACTGATAGAAACTCCCAACGTACAACGGTTGGGCAGTAGTGCGCCAGGCTCGATCACCTCGCCTGGTCATACTTAGGCTCTTCCTTTTCCGATCTTATGGAACTTTACTCCCTATGTTTCCTAAAAACATTACAATTAATGCTAGAAAAAGGTAAGCTGCCTGGAAACATAGACAAGACTATGACAACAGAATCAACAAAACACTTACACACTCACACACTACACTGTTACTCTCTCACAGTCACACACAACTAGTGTCACTTGTTTTATTATTATTATTATTGCTCACAAAATATTCTCAATTTTTTATTTTTACTTCACTTTTTTATACCAATTACAGTTTTAAATTTTGCGTGTGTTATTTTTAAATTATTTGCGTCATTGCACTTGACGACGATGTCATTCGTAACATAATAACGATAATATGGCTTCTCACCACACAGCAAATTGACTGTTTAGTAAAATAATAATTGTATTGTAGGATTTCTTGAAGTAGCCAATAGATACACCACCGCAGACGGCAGAACACCAAAAACAATTAATAAGTAATGGTAGTGTTTATTAGTAAATGAAAATATAAAAGGGTAGCGTTGGGTTCAAATCATCCAATGACTTTTCCCGCCTTGCGTAGCTAGAGGGAGAGTCAAGTTCTAATGATTAAAAACCGTACATCAAGGTTTCAAAAAAAGGCGATAATGTTTTCTGCAGGATGTGGTTGCACTCTTTAACACAGGACCTGTCTAACTTAGTCCCAAAAAAGGATATAATACCACGATAAATATATACTTATGTATAACTAGCCCCTTTACACACTCAGTAGGTATTGCAACATTGAACAAACTCAAAAGTGCAGTCACACTTTCTTCTGCTAATTAATTGACGTATTATCAAACCACAAGCGATGCCTCGTTATCTATACGATACATTTGTAATAAAATAACAGCAAGTCGCAGAGGTAAAGCAGTCACTTGCGAGCGAGAGCACTGAAAACATGGCAGGTGAGTTTTTAAGATAATATGTGATAAGATATGTGATAACAATAGTTACTAGAATGTACTCTGAAATGTATTGGACGATCGTTCTTCTCAGTTTTGCGTGACATACATTTTTATGGTGCTTTTACTAATATTTAATATGTCAGTGTCTGTTATTTCGTTAGGCATTTAACATGATTGTTTCAACTTTGTACAAAGTGGTTATGGAGAAACTAATTTGATTTCGAATTGTTTTATTGTAAATAATTAAGGAACCAATTAGAAGTGTACACGTACACACTTATAAAACGATTCGTAACAAATTGATAACATTCGAATTTGGATAGATGGTGATAACAAAACAGACGTGTCAAGTGAAATTATTTTTCAAACAGTTTTAATTGCATTTTGACTGTGCACGGCATTATAGGTATTGGAAAATACTTCATTTCCAACAAACAATCACAACTTTAAAGAGAAGGTTCTAGCTGCAGACACTCTTTATTTGGATTGCGCTCGTCCTTTTGTCATGTAAATCTAAAATGTTTCACGCGCTGCTACATTTGTTTTCAGTTCAAACAATGCAGCTAAAGATACAGATTTAGACGGAGACGCTTATTATTACTTCATTTCAATTATAAATCATAATTTCCTTGAAAATATTACTAACGAATAATGATTACTATCTTGTGAACACACCTTTTATGATAAAAATAAAAGATATCAAGTACTTTGAAATCGAAATTGATATGGGTTTTACGTTGACAAAACATGATTAAAACCTATTAATTTAGATTGACTTTATGTTGAAATCCAAGATTTCGTGGATCCTATCCATTTGACGAGTAGGTATAATCTACAGTTACAGGGATCCATTTTTTTAGAGGAGAATATCATAGTTTAGGGATGCAGGGTACATGTATGTAGTATGTATGAATTAACTTAAGATCACGTCCTAGGGGTATATATGAACTGTATTCGTTGGTTACTGCTGCAATATATATATTTTAAAGATGTTCATATTGGATATTACCTCAGACAAAACCGTCTGTCTAACGTCAGTGGGAATACCCCAAGGAAACATAACGGGCCCTTCCCATTTTCTCTCTATCTGAAACCTATTTAAAATGCATCAAATTTGTTATCGATATAAAAAGGTGTTCTAAATAAGCCGGTTTTATTATTTTTGAACAGGAAAAATTATTATCGTTCGATAAATTACACATTCAATTCCAACTAAGATGATTAACCTTATGATTAGTTTACAATTGATAAATACAGGATATTTCGAGCATTAATTCAACACCTGTATCTAATCTGATACTAAGGTGTTATTCATCGATAAACAATAAAGTGTAAAATAAACACGAACATTATATTATGACTAAGCCTTGGACAATATCAATATCGAGCATTTCATAGAAAAAAAAATTGTTGCAACATTCAAAAATTTTCCTGTTAAGATAAAAAGTTTTAGTATTTGACAAATAGGTAGGTAGTTAGATATTGGACTTAATAAATAATATACGTATCACACACCGATAAAACAATGAATTACTAATAATAAAAGGATTACAATATTGTATCGGTAGGTAGTTACGTCGTAAACATTCATTCAAGTGTGTTCAGGTGTAGAAACGAAAATACAGAGGTAATTATACCCATTAATTACGAAATCAAAAGAACTAACTCAAAAATTTTAAATCAATTAGTACTGTATTTATGTAGCTTGGCTGTCCGTTTATCAACCTGTATGTTTAATGTTTATCAAAATAGCACACAATTGCAATGAATCATATAAAATAATCAGTAACCACGAATAGCACAGAATTTGAAAAAATACGTTTATTGGTCACATTTTAATCCGTGATTATGAAAATAGTATACCTATTTTATTATAGGTACAGAATAAGGAAGTAGATAAACATGAAATCCCTTCATGAAGATAGATATCAGGACAATGTTTAGTGTGTTTTTGTACTTGTTGTTTTTCGTTGACACCTAATATATGAAAGCGTCATTGTGCAGATCGGCGTTATTATGGTTGGGGTGCACCGCCACCACCACCACCACATGGTTTCCCTCCCCCTCCCGGCCACCCAGGACACATGTACCCTCCTGCAGCCGGAGTAGTCTTTTACCCAGTGCACCCTGCCTATTTCTATCCCTACCCTGGAGGAGAAGTACCACCCCCTCCTGATGGCGGCGAAGTCACTGTGGTCGATAACTCTGAGCCGGAATTGCCCGGGGAAACTGTCGAGTTGCCGTGGAGTAAGTCTGGATTGGGTCCCCGGAGATAGCACCTTCTCAGATAACTAGGAGTTTTTATCCTATATTACTTTTTCAAATCATTCACAACAGCAATTAACAAGATTAATCCCTCAATCAATTTTTTCATACAAATCATTGAAATCAACACGTTACTTTTAATCAACCCACATAATTCTTAGACAACAGCATCGCATCAATAATAATCGTTAATCTAATCCGGGACATATTTATCCTCCTGATAAAGCGGCTGATAAAATAATATCGCAACGCTTTAGTGCAAATGAACAGTGTCAAATATTGTTACAACTGTATCGATGTTTGCGATTCAGTTTCATAAATCTTGAATATTTTCTCATGAAATACATGATATAGGCGTGAAGGTGTTACCTCTGAGTAATTTATTGATTGTATCGTTCGCCACGTGTAGGCCAATCCTCTTTATGGTGACTGTCCAATCCAGACTTACATCTCACCATGTCTCTGTACTGATTACCTTGTTGGTCTTATTCTTAACAATTTCAATTTCTCATCCATATAGAGTTTTGGCCGTAGCTTCTGTGTTGTTTATATTTGTGGAAAATCACACATTTTCATCATCAACCTTGCGTTACTTTTCGTTTGAATATTTTCCATGTTTGTTTTAAACTTTACTCACTCACATCTGTTGTTTTCTTCGTATTGTTGTTTTCTTTTATCCATCATAATTTTAATTACTAATGATCTATCGACTGCGTTATTGATTTCTTTTACGTTCTTTTTTTTACTCTTATGGCATGTTTTCCATATCAAACACATTTGTGTCTGTATTAAATTCTTAATTATTTGTTAAAAAACTGAGCGCGAAAAACTTAACTAACTCTATCCCTCTGCTCACTTCAGGTACATACCGTTGGGTCCCCGCATGCTTGAGCCAGCGCTCTATCCCCCCCGGCGCTCTGCGTGTGGGTACTGATGTAGATGGTGATGAGATCTACGCGGGCAGAGCCCCACATGAGGGTGACATCCTTCCCGCAAAGGTCATCCCCAACAAGAACGTTTGCTACGTCTGCTGGGGTGGAGAAGAAATCGTCAAAGACCAATTTGAGGTAAAAATGATGAATTATTGGATTAGGAAAAATGGCTGTTCCATTTCATCGTTTCAGTCTGTGAAATCTTAAGATGGCAACCACTATTGATTCTTGTCACAAAGGCAATTCTAACATATTATTACCATCCTGGTTTTAGGTTCTGGTTCCCGCGATGTTCTCCTGGCAGTTCTCGACTGGTGGTGCGGTTCCCCCAGGTGCAGTAGCCGCAGGAGTCACTGCTGACGGAGAGAAGCTGTACTATGGCAGAGTGACACACGACGGATGCACTACGCCTGGCAAGGTAAGGAACACAGTTCATTTCTATTAGCTTTTTGCATACCTCTACCAGTCCCCGAGAAAATATCGCGATTACACTTGGTGAAGACAATAATATATTCATTAGAAAATACAATAATATAACTGTACAGTTTTGTCACATACGCGCTGTGGTCCTTAATGTGCAGGTCCTTCATTATATTTCATTTGTCTATTCGCGGTCTTTAGTAACTCAAGTAAACTGGGGTTAGCGTATCCACGCGGATCAATAGCTTGAAATTAATATATAGAAATAAAGTTTTTAGCTTTGGGCCAGCTAAGCCGCGTTTTAAATTCTTTGCTTTCATCTGACTGGTTTACTCGCCTCCTAATAAGGACTTAGGTACAAGATAATTGCCGAAAAGAGGATGTTACCTATACGGACGGAGAATATCCTTCGGAAATAAAAGTCATTATCTTTACCTATGCTTTTGAATGGTAACTTTCAGCCGGGGTTGCGGGGTAAGCAGCCGGGGTTGCGGGGTAAGCGCAATGAGGTACCGCGACCTCGGCACAGAGCAGGAGAAGGAACAGGGGGGTTTTTAGTCAGTAAGAGTCTGACACTCCCTCCTGCCCGGCCCTGGGCGGGAGAAGTCATTTGATGATTTTCCCCTCACAAAAAAAAAAAAAAAAACCTCCTAATAAGGACTTAGGTACAAGATAATTGCCGAAAAGAGGATGTTACCTATACGGACGGAGAATATCATTCGGAAATAAAAGTCAGTATCTTTACATATGTTTTGGAATAGTAACTATCGAGAGACATACTTAATTTATTGAGAATAACGACTTAATCACGTGAACACACTGAGAAAAGCTCTACTAGTTTCAAATCACAACGGGATTCATAAAACGCAAAATGTGTTGGTAAGCGCATTACTCAGCAAATGGAAAAAATGGGATATAGAGACCCTTTCGTTGTTATCGAAGCAGTAGACAAAAGTGCAAAGCAGGAGGACCTACTATTTATCTTGTATGTAAAAATTAACCTAAAAATCTGTTCATAAGCGCATAACTCAACAGCCCCGGGACTAATTTAACTTTTCTAATTCTTTTTTGTGATGTTTCTTTTTGTCAAGTGAAGGAGATTTTTTTTTAGAAAAGTAGAGTGTAATTGTACTTGCTATTGGAGGGCGTTATTTTACTTTAATGAATTTATAACTGATCTTCATATTATCTTCTCTCTAGATCCAGCCAAGCCACGGCACTTGCTACTATCCCTTCGACGGCGAAGAAAGGAACTCGGCAGAATACGAAGTCCTTGTACTCATGTGAATTAAGAACAACACTATTTATTACTGTAACCTACAACATAACATACAACAAATAAATATTTGTGACAACACAGCAAAGATTGTACTTACTTATAATTACAAATTATTAGATTAAAAATACTTTTATTACAATTTACAATATGCATTATTATTTCTATCGAGTTGGTAAATTACAATAACATAATAAAATGGTGTATTTTCTTGTAATTTAGAACATCGTTTTTGTTTATGTGATAGGTAGGGGATACGGGAGGATACGAGCAAGGGATTACCTGATGGTAAGCAATCAGCGCCGCCTATGGATGCCCGCAACGACGGAGGGAAGCGGGTACCAGTGCGTTGCCGACCTTTTGGGGATTAGGGTTTTGGAGATTTTGAGATTGGGGAGGGATTGGGGAAGGGAAAGTATTGGGATTCCAGTAATCTCATTCATACGGCGAAAAACAAACTTAAAATAAGTACAGCCGTATACAAAAATAACGTATGCACTCCACTTATTGTGAAATGTGGGTAGTCTTTTTATTCCCAATACCTACCTTTTTATGTTTATTTTACCTATCCGAGTAAAACATCTTGTTGATTATTCTACCTATAAATAAATTGCTTGCTGGCTCAAAACAAAACAATAACCTGTTGGTTATTGTTTTGAGCCAGTTTTGTAGGTAGGTGTGGACGAAGTAAATATGTACATAAAGACTAATTATAATAAATATATCATAAGATACATTCTTACCACGATATGTATGGCAAATTGAAATCCGTATGAACAAGTTGTTTTTGTTGTGTTTAAGTGTGGGAGAGTCATGCTTCGGCACAAATGGGTCGGCTCGACCGGAGTGATACCATGGCCTCACAGAATACCGACGTGAAACAACCACAGCGTTGTGTTTCACCGTGTGAGTGAGGTTACCGGAGGCCCAATCCTCCCCCTCCCCCAATACCTCCTCAATCCCTAAATCTCCAAATCCCTAATCCCTAAAAGGTCGGCAACGCACTCGTAACTGCTCCATTGCGAGTGTCCATGGGCGGCGCTGATTGCTTACCATCAGGTAATCCGTCTGCTCGTTTGTCGATCGTATACATAAAAAAAAAAGTTGATAACAACATTATCTTAACATACTTAGATACATAGGTACAGATAAAATATACATATCAGTGATTGTACTTGTATGCTCATAGTGCGATTATAATTGATGACTTTATGGCTATACAGAACGTCATTATATGAAAATAATTAGGTCAATTTAATTGATAAACTAGGATATAGTAAATTTATTTACATATAAGTAGCTAAATATATGTGCATTTTATTTGCATCAGTACTTTCATTCCAAAATAGTCAAGTTTAATTGAAATTGATACACCAACAAGGTTTAAGAAGTAGAAAAAAGGATATATATATACTGAGATAAATGTATGTATATGTTCAGTGGTTTTATATAAAAAAAAACCCGCTTCAAAGTCTGATAACATTTGTTGGCACGTAGGTAGGTAGCGACGGTAGGGTCACAAACTACATACGGCAATAGGAAAAGAAAGATATGTGTAAAGCATTTTACCTATATTTATCATCATTATCAGCTTCTAAGTGTTATCCGAATACCTAGTAACTATTGTGAGACAATATGTTGAAAATAACTACTTACTCACGTGAATTCAAAAAAGGGGCTCTACTAGTTTCAAGTCGTGGGTAACGGGACTCTAAGCAGCGTATTTGTCACAGCGACGTCGCGCACGCAGCCGCGTTTATCAATCAGTTAATTTAAGTGAATAAATTGTTATTTTCAATAAAAAATATACTTATATGTGCCCACTGCAGAGCAAAGGGTCTCTCCTCACTTGGAGAAGGTTTGAACATTAATCAACATGCTTGCTCAAACGGATTGCCTATAATTAAAATTATTATGTTGCACAAAATATTGAGCTGCAAAGATATGTTACGGTTGGTGCGGTGGCTGGGCAACTGACTGCATTGCAACGTGTCGCGGGTTCGATTCCCGCACGGAACAACTCTTTATGTGATCCACAAATTGTATGTGAAAATGTATGCTTGTAAAAGCACCCACGACACAGGAGAAACTCCTAATATGGGGCAACGTTTTTTAAATGAATAAATATGTTAGAGGACAATTGACTATCGTGGTACCGTTAAGAATTCGTTATGTGTGAGCAATTCTTTAAGTCATAAAATAGAATCATTGATATTGAGTCAGATTTATTCACATAAAACACGAAAGTTGCCATTCCTGGTGTTACACAATCAATCTCAGCACTACGTTTACCTATAACAATACTCATAAAGTGAATTTTCATAAATTAGTGATGACTTAGGCGAATAACTGTGACGATTAAGTCCACCCTTGCATTTAATTGCGCTGCCGGATCCTCGGGTGAAATAGGAAGGGCTATCCCTTCCCAATAAGGTTCTCAATCCTCCGTTTCAGAGTGAAATCCGAGAGGGCGATTAGTAAGATTACAAATCAATAAAATCGACGATTTCATTCCCGTATGAAACGAAGGCTATTCTGTTATGACGAAAGTGAATAGTACTTTTACTTACACTATTCAATAATCGTCCCGCGGTTGTTAGAGCCAATTAAGGAGTTATTATAAATTTAACAGATTTATATTTTAAACTACGATCTTCAAACGCCTGCTAAGTGTGGTGACTGGCAAATCCATCCGGACGACGCTCATAGTTCCAGCGCTGAAGTGTCATTAGCTGCTGGTGTTAACCTGTAACTAAACCATAATCATTCTTTGGCTTTTATGTGCATACACTAGTGACCTCTACACCAAAAAATATCGAGGTCGTACAATTTACAATTTTGAACTATGCGTTTCTCATTTATAACTATAGACGGAATGTCATTATGTCACACGCACACAACACAACAATAGCGGCATTGGTTTTTTCCGATAACGCTATTGACACCAATAATATCTTTTGAATCAAGGTTACAAAACAGTACACTAAATGATACGTTTCAAAGTGAAAATACCCGTATGTATCGTTTTATAGTTTTTGAAAGGTTCTGTCATTGATGTTGCAAGATAACTGAAGAGAAAATAATAATTAATTCTGTACTGCTTCAATGACAAACCCTTGATGGTTTAGCTAGAAGATTCAGCATCCAAGTTTTCGGACCTGGTACAGTAAGTAATCGGCGCCGCCCATGGGCACTTGCATTACCAATTATTAGAATGGAGTCTAATATCCCCAATCTGTAACAGCTCCTTCTGAATGAAATAAAAGTCTTGTTGTTAACAAACAATTTAAATAAGTATTGAGTAGTTTCTGTGACCAAAAAAACATTTTGGCTTTTAAATACAATGAATTTATTAAAATATACTGTAATTTATTAACGATATATTTAATTTTAGACTATTTAGCTATATTATTAGAAATAAAAGAGCCGTAAAAACATTATGATTTCAAACAAAATTCATAGAGACAGCTATCGCTATCGACATCCCAATTAATTGATATCTACTAGTTGGAAACTACCGTATTACAAATTTCAATATTTATTCCCAGATCATATCGCAAGGTGATCCAGTATCCATAATACGATATCCATAATCGCATGAATTAATTGATGTATGAATCATAGTAGTAGGACAAGCAATATGCGCGTGCGCAGGGACTATTTGCATGCAGCGGCCTGCGACTCATTCCGTCACCAGCCACTGTCGAAGCCGCACGTCATAAGTTTACCAAACATTTTGCCGCGGAAAACATTGTAAACAAAAAGTGTAGTTTCCAAGTAATTGATTTTGTCTGTAAATCTAATCAATCATGAAGGCCGTAATTGGTTTTGTGATGCTCAGTAAGTTTTGTTTTTATTTTACTTTTAATATTGTTTACTTCCTTGTGTATTTAATTTACGAGGTACCTTGTAGTCTGTGCCTAAGTACTTATTAGGCACGTATGGGTACTTTTACCGGAACTTCATAGTAACTAACTTTTTATAAAAGTTCAACTTGTAGTTTTATTATTAGATTAAGTAAGTTATGCGATTTTAATAGGCACCCTGCAATATAACAGGGTTCGAAGCTATATTAGGGATGTGTGAACCATAATAATGTTATTGTAAGTACCTAAGTGGTTCAACTCATCAGCTTATTATATCTTAATGCCGAGCTATATAATAAGATGATTTATTTATCAAAATTGTATTTTTTTAATGATTAATTAATAAATACTTTGACTGTAAAAAGAAAACTACGAGGTAAACTCATCAGTACGTTCAGCTAACGCTAAACATATTTTGGATTACTTATTTGAAAAACTCCTATAATAATATCTTAACCCCGATTAAAGACTTACCACATTAACCACATAGAGTATCAAATAAATGTGGTTTGGAAAAAAACATCAAGCAAGATGTAATAAAATACACTCCTAATATCAATCAAATCTCATTCTTAAATTAAATTATTTTAAGGTTTATAATAACTCCCTTAGAGCTAAGAGTTTCAAAGATAGATAAGATTAGATATGGCCTATTGACAAAACGAAACAGTCACATCTATCTCATATTGTGAAGCTGAAGAGTTTGTTTATTTGCTTTAACGCGCTAATCTCCGAAACTGCTGGTTCGAATTGAACAATTATTTTCGTGTTGGATAGTTCGATAAATGAGCTATAAGGAAGGCTATAGGCTAAAAAACATTAAGCTACAACCAATAGAAGCCAGGCAGTGGCGAAATCGTACGATAGTTGCTAGTCGAAAATAGTTAGCAGGCAGTTTTCACCAATGTGTGAGCATGTGTGACGAAATTGGGAGTGGATAAGATGAGAAATTTCAAAAACCTTTATGGTTCATTTCGATAGGTACTTTGCTTCACCAAGGAACCGCAACAACAACCCCTTGTTATGCAGTCGTACTTGCCTTACCATTCCACTAGTATAAATGTAGGTAATACCACACAATCGTATTTCCAAACATCAGACAAGATTAGAGATTTCGAGTTACCGAGAATTACGAAGTGAAGTATTACGACTTTACAATATTTCCTAACTGCCAATTTGATTTTAATTACTGAGTTTAAACCTATTGCCGGTCTGTTTTAACTTAAGTATAGAACAAAATTATGGACCAAGATACTATTTTTCAAATTATATTCTTTGGCTTACCTCGAAGGACCGAAGGTACTGTTACGAAAAAAGACAGAATGGCTCGTCAAGTGGTTTCAATTTCTATAATTAAAAAAGACATATTTGTATTAAATAAGGAGCAAGTTCCTTACACACATAATTAGCTTCTGACCTATATTGGCTTAGCTACAAAAGAGGGATCTGCCGTAGGTAACCTCCACATATTTTAAGTGTAGAAGAGCCATAAGGCATGGGCCGGCTCGACTGGGGTGATACAACGGCTTCATCGAATACCAGCGTGAAACGACACATATGTAGTGTTTGTGAAATTACCCTAATCCTCAATCCCCAAAATCGCTAACAACCCAGTGAAGGGCATCGCGATTACAATTTACAAGCTATTCTCGCGAGGTTTCACCCGCTACTTGGCTCCATTTAATCGTAGCGTGATGTTTTATAGCACTCAGGAACATTGTAGCTTTTTATCAGTGAAAGAATTTTGGCAATCCGAATCCGACGATAAAGTTTACCCCCTACATACAAACTTTCAAATTTTACCTCTTTATAATATTAATATATATTTGCAGTTACGAGTAATCCGTCTGGTCGTTTTCCGACAAGAAAGAAAATCTGATCTCTGAACCTCGTTCGACGTATGACATATAAAACTGATATTAATCAGAAAACTAGTCTCTGCTAAATGCATACTCCCTTAACTAATTCTTACGACTCTTGTTGAGCTGATATTTTTGTGTAATTTTTAACACGTTTGTCTCATTTTCCAGTGCTAGGAGTAGTGTCAACAGACATGGCTGGGGAGTGTGATATGGCCAGCTTCTACACAGAGTTGGGGTGCACACCAGTGGCTCGAGCTGACGGCGGCCTCTGTCCTGAGTCCTTCACCTGCCCAGACCTGCATCCTGATCCCACTAAATGTTATTACAAGTGAGTTGAAGACATTTGTCATTTTTTATCATGCTTTCAAGATAGAAACCATGAACGTTATGCGTTTTAAAACTATAGAGCTGCCTATCGAAAAAAATATTGTTCATTTATTTACGCTCAGAGGAGTAAATAGTAGGCTTTTATCTCATATTCCACCGGTTGTCCTGCTTCGAGTCACGATTTTGTTGTTTATAAAAAGTTTAAGTCCTTGTTGGCAATGTAACATTGAGCTGACCATATCTGCAAAAAGTCTTTAGGACATCAAAAAAGATCAACAATACTGCACAATAAAAGAGCAAATAAGGATTTACTCAAAAACTGACCTCGAGGAGTTCGGAGAAGCACCCAGAAGTGAATATAAACAAAAAGCCGGCGACCTCTCGCACGATGGTCGCTGGTTGCGCCGGCGCAGAATCGCGTCGCTGGGAAATACCGCGACCTTGCTCTTGCTCTAGTGACAATTTAGCTATGCTGATATAAATTATATAGGAAATGTTTTATTGCTTATTATGGCAAACGAAGGATGACTGACTAGTCATTGTATGCATGCATAATGATATTATATTGGTATATTAATAGCATTTCCTTTAAAAGTACATTGCTTATATTCTAATTTAATAAATGAAGGAAGGCTACTGATTATCTTTCTGCAAGCTCTTATTTAATTTAGGGAAAATTTTTCAATGATTACATAAAAGTTATCTGAGGAATAATTATGATATTGTCGCGTCAGAATGTTTTTATAAGAGAGTGGCAGCAAACATTTTATTCCTTAGATAAAATTTATTTGACTATTGAAAAATCAGCCCTTAAATTATAACAAATTGATTACAGGAACTTAATAAGGCATACTCTATTTTTACATTTTGTATTGTGTAACTTATCTTGTTCTTTCTTGATTCTTGATTCTTTACGACTTTAGTAAGCAAATGTTAAGGTTTGTGAATGACAGATGCCATCTTTTTTTAATATTATGCTTTAAGTACCTACATGTTGTTTAGGTAACAATTTTCTAATCTCACCATTCTCATTTGCAGTGTCTAAAAGGGCTTATCTATGTAGAAATAATGAATAAACATTAAACATCCGATAGCTAATTTGATTAGCATGTACGTTCCAAGAATCAATCATTTTTGACAAGTTACACGACGTTGGAGGCAGCGAGCATACTTATTAATTTTTCTAGCAATTAGTTACAAGTTTTCAAAGTGATTTGGCAGAGAATAAATGAACCTTGAGGTATTAAATTCACCTTTAGTGATATAAAAGCTTAGATAAATATTATCTGCTTAATAAAATTGTTGATGTCACTGTCTTATACAAACATTCTGACGTGACATCATCATAATTATTCCCCAGGTAACTTTTATCTAACCATTAAAAATCAGCCCTAAATAAAATAGTAATACTTTACTTAAAAACCATTAATGTTTTTTTTACTTTTAAGCACCCGTTGCCTATATTTTTGTCACATTCCGAAAATATTTCGATTGCAATGTTTTATATTTATCTAATTATTATAACGTATATCTATGTAAGAATTTACTTGCCTAATTATAAAATAACTTGTTTCCTTTGTGAGTCATTTTGACTCGAAATGTCTGTAAAATTCTCCACAATATGTTGGGCATTATGACACAGAATAACATCGTTTTGCTTTTAGACAAATTTAATGTTATCTGTTCACAGCCATTTTTTATATTAGCGACATTACGTGAAAAAGAAAAACTCACTTAATTTATTATGGAAATGTACTCGGATATTATTATTGTAATTAATTCTAAAATAGAGTACACGCTAGACTATTATACTTACAAATAAATAGAGCTAAAATCGTTTTAGAATCCCTAAAAACAAAGTTGAATGTGTGATAAAGAATATTTAATCAATCTTCACATATCATCGCGATAATACGATTGAAAAAATAAGAAAAAATCTTTTTGAAAAGATCACAACTCGAATTCGAGTTAATTTCGAGTTCATCAAACTCTTAGAACCAACTCTGTGAAAACGTTTATGCTGATCAGATGAACTTTACCTACTTACTAATCAAGTTAATTATCTTTTAAGCACCTACTTAACATTCTGTCTAAGCTTATCGTATCTAGGATTCCAATCTAAAGTACAAAATTATCAATTCCAGAGGTGTGGCGTACGCTGACAGATCGCCGATACCTCAGCCACTGATCAGTAACCCTTGCTCGCAAGCCTGCAGTTGCAGCGTGTTCGCCGGGGAGCCACAGTTCAGCTGCGCGGCCGTTGACTGTGTGGAGACCTTCGACAATGATATGCAGCAGCAATGTATCTATACGTATGAAGTAGACTCGTGTTGCAGTACTGGCACTGTTTGTGGTGAGTAATTTAGGATAGATTTAATAGTTAGTGATTGCAGAGGACGATTTGTACGTATAATGACATACATAAAACATTGGAGAAATTTTGCATCTGCGTTGCACAAATAGATATATCTCGCTAGTTACAAACAAATTTGAATACAGATCGTAATTTGTTTATGAACGTAGTGCCACTGACCCTTAGTGTTAACAATTGCATTTTCCTCAATTAATAGTTTAAAATGTATCATTGTATCGATTTCAATTAGATAAGTTTTATGTTCTTTTTTATTTTTCATTAGCATTCAATGTGCATTGCACTTTGAATTTACACAAATACTTATAGCTAAGTCAGTGCTAGCTACTTTATGTCTACTATAGATATTCAATTCGGTTGTAAAATTAAAAAGTCAAAAAGTAACCTAGTAGTCAATAAAGGACTGCATTAAGGTGTCTTATGGCAGTCGAGTAAAACAAATATTGCCATAAATAAATATTTAAACTTGAAGCCAAAGTAAAAAAACGTTGCATAACTCGACTACACATATGTATATGTATTCAGTACATTTGAGTTAAGAAGAAATATATGCGATGAGGTAATCGCCAACAATACTTACATAAGAACATGCATTTTTAAGGCACAACCAAGAAATGAGCCATCCCTAACCTTGCAATACCAACCTTCAAAACATTATCTACCGAACTTATGAGTTCATCGCAGACAATTAGGAGCCAATAAACATAATCTATGCACTGGTTCTGTCAAAACGAATATATTGCTTGCTAATAAAGTCTATTTTTAGGTGACACACAATTTTATGTGTCCAAACAGTAGAAGAAACAATAGGGTTACCATATATGCAATGTTAAAGATCGATGCAATGGCAGGTTTACAATTAACGACCCATTGTATACTATCATTATGACAGGATTGACTTCCACGTATGACTGGACTTTTAAAAATCGTAACACGTAATTACAGAACCAATATTATTTAAAAGTACCTATGTATTACTGACCGTATAACTGTTTTTACTGATGCATCGACGTCACGTAAGACTTTGATGGTTTTATCTTTCGACAAATCAGCTGTTGTTTATAGCTATGTGAAAAAATATATCACAATATGTGAGTTCTCCTTGACAAGGTTCGAAGCTGACAAGTTGCTTTTGCCCATAATCTTTTGGTCGTCTTCGTTTTTGGAAAATATATTTTATATTGGGTGTTCCAACTTGAGAAGTAAGGTTCAGAAAGGATCCATTTAAACTGGGGTCGTACCACTAAATACGAGTAACTAAGGTCCACGGTGCCTACGCATAGTTTTTTACATTGTCTCTAAATTAAAGGGGTCTGACCTCTAACTTCTTTTGGCATTTCTTTTTAGATTACTCAGATAGGAAATGCCGGTTTTATCAAGTTTTTTTATATACCATATAATGTTGGCATATAAGTGCAGTTTTATGGCCTCAGTTCAATCTTTCATGGCACAGAATGAGGAAATTTAAGAGAAACTTCAATGTCGAAATGTTTCTTATTTATTCTGTAAATACTAGGGGTGTTATTCCTAAGTCTGGTTGTGAAAAACTCTAAAATAACAAAATTTATCAAGTATCATTTATTCTAAAGAGCAGATATGTTACCTTGACTTTTGGTCTTCGTTTCAATGTCCATTTGTTTATATAAATATTTATTTATTTTAAAACATAACGATGAATATGTTTTCGTTTGTTTGAAGGATTTACTAACGAGGACGGTTTAGAAATTCCATGAATTTGTGGAATTTCGCCAGTTATTTTTGATCTCGACTTTGAAAATAAATTCGTAAAATTTTTGCTAACAACATCTGCCGATCAGATATGAGGAAGACGTATTTCCATACAATTTGTGTAATAGAGAAATGAGAATGAGCCTATTATCACCCATCAATTTGGTGGTTCTGACTTACAGCTTTTTGAGCCAACGAAGGAAAATCTCTTTAATTCCGACATTTTAATTCTAGGCAAAGACGCAATAGCCCAGCTAAAGACATGTGAAGTGGATGGGAAGACTTACCGCGAGGGTGAGACATACCAGCCCAAGGACACACGTAAGACTTGTGTGTGTACTGCGGACTTCAACGCGACTGATAACTCTGCCAACTGCCGGGACATCAACTGCGGTATCGAGATCCACTACCAGTCCGATTTACTGCAGAACTGCGCTCCTGTCTTCCCTGGCAACATGCGCGGATGTCCTATCGGTTTCGAGTGCCGTAAGTACTTTTATTTTACTGCTCTTGTAAGCTCTCTCGGGGCATGCTTCTTACGTGACAGGAGATCAGCAGATCAGCGCTCGATCCCGACACTTCGAGTGCCTGTTGCGGCGACTAGTGCCACCTCACAGAAGGACAAGACGGCTTCCCAGTTCCTCTTTCTTCGCACCATGGCCTGAACTAAAGGCAGAAGCAAGAAAAAAGTGACTCTCGATCTTAAATGATTGCTTGATCAAGATCCGTTTTTGTATCACAGTATTGAGAGTCAGTACTTACAATGAAGTCACTAAACTTCACTATTTTATTAAGTAATATATATTGGCTTTATGAGAATGCTTAAGTACACAGAGCCATTCAAGTATTATGTAGTAGGTGTTTGATATTTTTTATTGCGAGTTGGTGAAGATTGTGTCACTTCGTTTTAAAGAGAAGCAACGCAACCTTATTACCTTAATCTGACTTCGCATCGTGTTGTATCACTATTAGTCAATTTTGCAAATTCTTATAAATATTCATATCTTCCCATTCTTATGAAATACTATGGTGGTAAGCAATCGGCGCCCCTCGTGGTCATGACACCGGCCTTTTGTGGATTCTTAGATTTGGGTAACCTCACTCTCAAGGTGAAAATAAACCAGCACTTTGGAGCAAAGGCTCACTTGTCTCCGTTATTAGTCAAGTAAACAAATCTTGCAAGATACGATTATGGGTTAAAATGGCACTATAGCATGCAAGCAAGATATGGTATAAATAACAGTATAAACATATTATAAAAGACTACATTTGTATTTAATGCATTGGTGATAGAAACTTTTCTATGAACCCTTATTGAGAACAACATTATTGTAACAAAAATCAACTTTTCGTATTTCTTCACCTATACAAAGCAGAATGGTCCGTTCTAAGTGATTCTCAAAGTTTAAATGTAATTTCAGAAAATGCAAAGACCAAAGTCGTTCGTGGTCTCAACATTCGAAACCTGACGGCCTCCTGCGTGTTTGGCAACACGACCCTGATCGTTGGAGACGAGGTGACAGTTGAGGACGCTTGCACTAAATGTACCTGCACTGTTCCACCTTTTGTCACTTGTATGAGAAAGAATACTTGTGACCATACGAACTAAATCTCAAGAAGGACTGAAGAATGGATGGCACCATCCATGGAGGCTTGGGTTGTTTGAAGATGGACTATTGTTATATTCTATGAAGTCTGATATGAAGTATGAGTTTTTGGAAATCTGATTTATATGATTCGTTATTTTGTATAGAGATCATTTCTTATAAGTAGGAGTCCTTATTGTTAAGGAGGCTAGAGGTATGGTCTCTTGTCCATAAACCTATTTGGATATTCATATATTGGCTATTGTGGTTACTAAGTAGACTAATATGACTTTGTGCTTCATCAACGCCATCTAGGGAAGTAATGAATACAAAAACGATAGCCCTGATCATATGAAATATAAATGGAGTCACTTCAGTAAAAAAGAAACAACAACTAAATCAATGCATATAAGTATTTTTTAATCGATAAAATATAAAAGTCGTTTTAAAATAATTACAATAATAATTGGTAACTTTAATAAACTTAAATAATAATATTAATTTTTAAAATTAATACTGCGTTCGTATATACTTTGATTTGCGTACATAGTTAAGTAACTTATGTTCTACTTAAAAATAATTAAATTCTTAAAAATATTTGTATATAGGAATCACATGACATTTGCTTATAAGAATATTTACATTATGTACATTTATACACAGCCGATGAGGACCTTTGTAAACTAAACTATAATATATGTAGGTATTTAAATTATGTTGTGACGACCTTTTCGAATTACTTATCCTTAAGTACTTAATTAATACATTAATTCTCATATTATTAAATGAATCACATTATAGGAATCGTTACAAACTATGAATAAAGTAAAAAATATTTTAAAATTAATTTTTGTTTGATTTTCTTAGTCTATGCGGATAGGTACATATGTATATGGCTTTAAGTAACTTTTAAAACTATTTAATAAATGCTTATAAAATGGCAGTGTTCTTAACTAAATTGCACAAATAATTCATTTTATACTTCGGTATAAAGTGAATATTCAAGATTACTAAAATAATAAATGTCGATGTTTTTGAGATCTTAAACGTAAGTAGGTAAATATTGTTATTTTTGGTAACTGACTTAAAATATAATTATATAATGATATTTTAATATTAAGTTAATAGCATATTATTATGATTAAATGCAACACAAAAAGAAAATAGTTATAAAATAACTCAAAAAAAAACTCCAATAAAAAAATAAAAATATTAAGTCGTTATAATTCGATTTTCAAATTCGCGTGTTACTTATTCTTATTTTCAAATTCCTTTAGATCGTTGCCAGTGTTTATATTATTCGTTCGAGTGTTACCATCATTTTATGGTTAGCTAAAGCAAGCTAACCCGAGTTCGACCCTAAACATCTGTTGTGGTCTGCCAACGTCACGTACGGCTACATCGAGGAGTGGAAGACGAGCTGGCTTATCCGTTTGGTACTCTACGATAGTGCGCGCCCAGTTTGAGCTCTTGTGCTGTAAACAAAGTTGGCATAATCAGTCCTTTGGTCTTTCAATCGTGGTTAATAGTGACACATTTGAAGAACAACAGGCGCCTGAACGCCTGTGCTTTCGCTTGGGGTTTGATGAATTATTGTCAGAGACGAGATACGACAGATCAAATATGGTAGTAAGTACCTACATAAAGAAGAAAGTTCAAAGAAAAACTAGTTTAGGTACTGTTAGTATCAGAACAAGGAATTCCATTCAGGTTACTTAGCATTAAAGTAACAAAAATTTCCTCCGAATAAAAGCTACATAAAATTTTAAATAGCTGCGTTGCCGTCTTCCGCCGTATAGTTAACAGTATTCATCTAAAAATTCCACTAACCTGGCATTCATCCAACACAGCCTTATATCTCAACCGGTTGTTGGCCTTGGGCAGGATCTCTGCATCGTTGTAAGCCAAAAGTTTGATGCCCCGGCGGTAGTTATTGGCTGTGGGGTCGTAATAGCCGATGGTGTTGCGACAATGGAAGGTTACATTCTGGACAGCCTTCGTTGACATCAGCTGAAGGTACGTCAGTTGGGTGTGGTCGGCTTTGTAGGTAACCTAGACAAGAGAGTAAGTGAATTAACACTTGCTTTTCATACTTAATGAAGCAATATGCCTTTACATATAAATTAATTCATAGGTATAGCGGCTTCGCACGCGTAATTCGGATAAAACATAGCCAATGTGGTATTTTACAGCTCTTTGGTAATTTAAATCATAATTGAAACCATTCAGTAGTTTTTAGTAAAAAGTAAAAAAAAGTCCATCCATCCATACTAACTATCGTAGTAATAATATTAGCTACTAAGTTCTGAGTCAATACTCTGTCGACTAATCGTCCTAGTTAACACATTCTGATAAAAAAAATAAGTATATGTATTTCAGTGTAAGTGCTGCGGTTGAAATTTTACATTGTGTTATGTATAGGATCGTATCCCACACTAGCTCCCTCTTATGAACCTTAACTCCTATGCTGTGAGTAAAAGTAAAACAAAGTGAGTCTGCTTGTGACCATGGCAGGCTTTGTGATTTGCTTGTTGCTTGACGTTTCGGCAGAGTTATGCCAAAACGGCAAATCACAAAAAAAAGGTAGTACGTGAGAGTTAAATCCCGTAAAACAGTAATGTACTCGTATTAAAAGTAACAGAAGCTCACCGTGAATCCATCATCCATCTCACTCAGCCACGGCTCGTGTTCCTTGCCATCGTAAGTGATGTCCTGCGACTGCATGGGCTTCGGGAAGACGCAACTGCTGCCAGTTTCCATATCACAGTGGACCACGATCGCATCGTTTATGTCGCCTCCATTTGGATCGATCCAATATTGGCCTGCCAAATGAATTTGATGTTATTGGACTACTCGTATTTGCAGTACCCAAAGGCAGCTATGCACTTCACCAGAACTGGAGTGTTTTTTTTTATGTAATAGGTCGCCAAACGAGCAGACGCATTACCTGATGGTAAGCAATCAACGCCGCCCATGGACACCCGCAACGGAGGAGTTACGAGTGCGTTGCCGACCTTTTAGAGATTAGGGATTTGTAGATTTAGAGATTGAGGAGAGATTGGGGGAGGCAAAGGATTGGGCCTCCGGTAACCAAACTCACACGGCGAAACACAACGCTGTGGTTGTTTCACGCCGGTTTTCTGTGAGGCTGTGGTATCACTCCGGTCGAGCCGACCCATTCGTGCCAAAGCACACTTTTTATCTTGGTTATTAAAAAGATGTTGCATAAATACATCTATGTAGGTAATAACATTGTCTAACTAAAGGGACTCTTTTAAGAAACGATAGAAACAAACAATTATTGATAGTTTACTCACCGCTTTCAAATTCAGGATGATGGTATTTAATGTCCCCACAAGTCTTTGCTGGTGCCTCCTTAGAGCCGTCGGGTTTAAGGAATTTGTCGAGTGACACCTTCAGTCTTTCATAGGCTTTCATTACGACCTCCTTACGTTCAGCTGGTGTCATGTCTTCCTTGAAGAAGCGAGGAGGTAGCAAGTTCGGGTCATCACCTAATGGGTCGGGGCCCTTTACTGAACCTAAGGATAAACAACAGTCAATAAATTAATAAAAAAATATTAATATTCCGATCAATATGTAAAAAAAAATGAAAGATTTCTAGAAACGTCATAATTTGTTGTGGTGGAACATTTATGTGCAAACTTTTCTAGCTTTTCTGCTACTAACCTTGTTGTAACATAGCAGCTATAGCAGCAGCATCATAAGCCAGACCTTCTCCTGGTGGGCCAGGAGGACCAGGTGGACCAGCAGGCCCAGGGGCTCCATGCCTGCCAGCTTCTCCTTGAGGTCCACGACCACCAGGCAATCCCTGGGGTCCTTGCGGACCAGGGTTTCCATCACGACCAGGAGTACCTATCAAAAATGTGTATGAGTTAAATGAAAGCGTTAAACAGTAAAAACCATTGAAATATGCAAATTAAACTTATATAATACCTCTTGGTCCAACTTCTCCATCTTTTCCAGGAGGTCCCATTGGTCCAGGTAGACCTCGCTCTCCAGTTCTTCCAGGAGCACCCATCATTCCAGGTAGACCTGGTAAGCCAGCATGTCCCTTGGCTCCATCAATACCCGGTTCTCCTCGTTCTCCTTTAGTGCCATCAAGTCCGGCTGGTCCAACTTTGCCAGGTGGTCCCTGAGGCCCATCAACTCCAGGTGGTCCACTTTCACCTCTAGGTCCACGTTCACCTGTTGGTCCAGAGGGCCCTGAAGGTCCTGGTGGTCCCTAGCAAAAGTCATTCGATAAATTACTTCCAAATCTTTAGAGATTATTATACTTGTATGAATAAAGTTGATAATACTAATATTTACTTGTAATCCTGGTGGGCCAGCTGGTCCTGCTGCACCAGGAGGTCCGATTGGTCCCTTGTCACCTGGTCGTCCCGAAATACCCGGTTGGCCTTGTTTGCCTGGGCGGCCTTCTGGACCTGGTTCGCCCATTGGGCCTGGTGGACCTTGTAATCCTGGAGTGCCTGGTGTACCCGGAGCACCATCTGCGCCTGGCTTGCCTGGGGCACCACTCTCACCCTAGACGTAAAATAAGTATTTTAAAGTCTGAGTAATTTATCTAGTAGGTATAGATTGGTATCAGGTTTTAATTGTAATACTGATGACACCAGTTGTTGTATCCGTTTCAGTGTTCCAGTTAGTTGGGTTTATTTGGAACACCATTGTTAGATTTTAGACAAAACGTACCTGAGCACCTCGCAGTCCTTGTGGCCCAACTGGTCCAATGACTCCAGGTAAACCAATAGGGCCTCTCTCACCAGCTGCTCCAGGTGAACCAATTGGACCTTGCATGCCAGGTTCACCGTCACTGCCTCTTTCACCTTTAGGCCCTTCAGCTCCTTGAGGTCCAGTCAAACCTACAGGGCCAGGGGGTCCTGGGCGACCAGTGTCACCGGTGGCTCCCTTAGCACCAGGTATACCTGGGGCACCTGCGGGGCCTGTACTTCCTTGGGGACCCTAAATGTTATAATATGAGAAAGTATGAGAAATTATTTATTTACAATTATATTAAAAAGGTATATATT